CCAATCCGAGTCGGTGTAGCCGAGGAGAGGTTGCAGTCCTCCTTGGTACACTAGTTCCAGATTTTGTGATCCCTTGAGGTATCGAAAGATACGCTTGACAGCTGTCTGATGCTCGTTGGTTGGGTTCGCTAGGTGTCGACTGCATAAGGAGACGGCAAAAGCGATGTCGGGTCTCGTCCCCAGCATGAGATACATCAGGGATCCGATCGCCTTGGCATACCACTCTTTGAGTTCGTCCGCTGCCTTGTAGCCCGAGTCTGGTTCTCCGAACTTGCTTGTCGAAACTGGTGTGGCATTGGGAGCGCACTGGTCCATTCCAAAGTCTCTAAGTACTTTCTCAAGGTAGGTCGTCTGCGACAAGAAGATCGATCGGGTGGCTCTGTCTCTTCTTACGGACATGCCCAGGTAGTATTTGCATGGGCCCAGGTCCGTCATCTTGAACTTGTTGCACAGAGCTTGCTTGACCGCCACGATCTCGTCCTTGGAGGGCCCGGCAATAAGCAGATCGTCCACATATACCGCAATGAACATGTAGCCTTTCACAAAGACTCCCATATCTGAAAGTAAAGGCTTGAACCCGAGTGTCTTAAGGAAGGTTGAGAGAGTCTCGTACCACACCCTTGGTGCTTGCTTCAGTCCATACAAGGCTCTCAAGAGCTTGCAGACTCTCCCACTTCCATCGTCGAATCCTTCCGGTTGCTGGACGTATATCTCCTCATTTACAAGGCCATAGAGGAAGGCCGTCTTGACATCCATTTGTTCCAGTTCCAAATCTAGTGCTGCCGCGATGGCAAATATCATCTTGTAGCTCATCGGCTTGACAACAGAGGCGAAGGTTTCGTTGAAGTCAATTCCTTCCCTCTGCTCGAATCCTCTCACGACAAAGCGGGCTTTGTGCCGCAGAACTTGCCCATTTTCTCCTCTTTTGAGCTTGAACACCCATTTGCCTCGAAGGGCCTTTCGTCCTGGGGGAAGCGTGACTAAGGTCCAGACACCGTTTTCAACCAGAGATCCGTGTTCATCCTTCAGTCCTCCCCACCAGAGTTTTCCATGTACACCCTGCGTGGCTTCCCTGAAGGTTCTTGGTTCGGACTGATTGATGTCGCGAGCGACTAGGTACAGTTGTTCTGCAACTGTTGCTAGGAAGGCGAAGTTCGTGCTGGCCAGTATGTACCTCGACGGCAGCTGTCCCCTGGTCGATCTTTCGGGCAGCCGAGACTCTGCATGCTCCTCTGTTTCTTCCGACGGCACTTCACGCTCGTCTGTGGCAACATGGATACTCGATCTGGTTGACTCTTGGTCTGGATCCCATCCTGTGTCTTCCAACAGAGGCTCATCTGGCGTTGTCTCTCCACGGCCCGCTTCCCCGCTTCTGTTCGCCTCTCTCGACGCGATCGGAAGGGGCGACGGCTCTAGAACGATGGCATTTTCCGCATCGCTATCCTCTTCTCCGACTACTCGTCGTCGTTGCGATGGTCTCTGGTCACTTATCTGATGCGTGAGATTGTCGAATGTTGGTTCGACATTTTTGACGTTTTCAGAGAAGACAACATTGTTAGACACAAAGACTCGTCCCCTTTTGTCAAGGAGTATATAGTTCGTGCTGCCCTGATAGCCGAGAAGCTGGCAGGGAATGCTCTTCGACTGCATCTTCTTTCGTTTAGAGGATGGAAGCAGAGCCCATCCTCGTGAGCCAAGAACTCGCAAATGGCTGAGGTCAGGAACATCTCCATACCAGGCTTGGTATGGAGTAGTAGAAATGCTCGCCGTAGGACAGAGATTTCGGATGCGGTTCACTGCCTTGAGGAAGTACGGCCACCACTTCAAAGCGAGTCCGGATTTGAGCAGTGTCGGTGTAAGTTTTTCCAGGATGATTCGATTGAGAACTTCAGCCAATCCATTTTGTTCGTGTTGCTCAGTTCCTGTGTAAGAGAGTTTGATTCCTCTGTCCCGGCATAGTCGAGTCAAGCTGTGGCTTCGATTCTCTCCCCCTCGGTCGAGGTGCAGGAAGTGACATCGTCTTTCCGGTCTCTCGAACTGTTGCAACAGATGATGGAAACACTCTTCAAACTCTGACCGTTCTTTGACTGGGTACACCCAGGACATTTGAGTAAAGTCATCAATAAAGCAAACCCAGTACCGGCTGCCGTCTACTCCCACTTCTGGGAATGGTCCGGCAATATCTGCATGAATACACTCCAGAGGGTAAGTGCCTTTCTTGATCGGTCGGACATGGGGACATTCCCTGAGTTTGCCCTGTACGCAGGCTCCACATGGGTTTGATGTAGAATCATCCGGTCGAATTCCAGTAGACATATTCATCAGTCTCTTGATATTCCTCTCTCCCAAATGTGCGAGTCGCTCGTGCCAAAGGTGCAGTCGAGGATCTCCCACCGAAAAAGATGCCAAAGCGGTTTGAAAAGGACGGTCCTCAACTTCATCGACTACATATACGCCTGATATTCTTGTCGCAGTGAGGACGACTTTTCCCTTGTTTGTAACCACTGCCTTCCCATTCCGAAAGACAACTTCTGCTCCCTTCTTCTCTAGTGCTGACACAGACAAGAGGTTCGAATGTCCTTCTGGAACATAAAGAGCGTTATCGAGAGTAACATTCTGTGATCCATTAGGCCCTTGAACGCGGAGGCAGTACGTTCCGCACCCTCCTGGCATGACCTTTATGTCCGCAATACCATTGATGGGGAGACCGTGGTACCTGTGAAGTGATGTAAAGTTCTCCTGTCGACAAAAGATATGCGAGGAGGCGCCACTATCCAAGACGTGGATACGTTCGAGGGCCCGAGTTTGAAGAGATGCTTGAAGACCGGAAGGTCCGAGTGATGAGCCAATCAATCCAAGGTGGCCTTGGAAGTCATTTTGCCAGAGTGCCAGTCGAGCTTGGTCAGGTTGGAGGTGTGCAGGAGTTGTATACGTGGCAGATTCCAGTTCATCATTCGTCTTCTCCCTTTCCTTCTCCCGAACCTGCATTTTACGTTGTCGTCTCTCGTGACCAGCTTTGATACGATCTCTTCTAAGTTCTGGGTGGAACCTCCAACAAGTGGACCTGTCACGCCCTTTTCTTCCACAGTATCCACAACATGATGTATCCTGAGCCATCATGGCTCTATGTGCCATCTTGGCCGTGACGCTTCTTTGTCTGTCCTCCTCCTGAGATGCGGCAAAGATGGCGGTTTCAAACGTAACGGCCTCTTTGAGAACAACGTTGCGATTGCTCGGATCTCGGATAGGAAGGATGTTGTGATTCTGATTGAAGGCAGTGAGAAATACTTCATAGTCCGGACCAAGTCCACAAAGGAACTTATTGACAAAATGCGGTTCCCCGATCTGGCAGGTGTCATCCATCTCCAAGAGTTCAGCCCTGACTTGACGTAGCTTATTTGCGTATTCCATGACCGAATCGCAAGATTCAAGCGTGAGTTCTTGATATCTGCGGTCGAGCTCTTGGAAGATGGCGCTTCCGACGGGCCGATATCGGGTCTCAAGGTGGTTGATCATGCCCTGAGCCGTCGAGATCCCCGTGGTAAACACTCGGGCGTTATAACCGAGACGACTTCGAATGGCACCGCATGCTCGATCTTGGCGGCTCCTCCAGGCCTCAATCTGGGTTGCAAGGTCGTTACCTTCTGTTGGTGGTTGAGCATTCCTGGTCAGAAGGTCTCCATATCCACACATGTCCAGAAGGTCGAGCATTTCTCTCTTCCAGGTCAGCCACTGGCTGGTTTGCTCCAGCTTTGGAATGGTGCCGGAACTGCCTATGAGATTGAGCGATTCTTTGGAAAGGGACATGATAGATTCTCGTAGAAGCTAATGATTAAGAGACATGAGGGCGAACGGCAATCGACCAGTCTTGGATCGAGTCTTTGGAATGAATCTTGGCTGCGTTCGGCAACATGATAATGCCGTGCAAATAGGGGTTATCGGAGTCGGGTAGAGATTGTCCGAAGGGTGAAACGCCTAGCGGTCTCAGATATCCATATCATTCCCTCCGTCTGGAGGAAGGGCAATGATCTGATGTCGATCATGTTGCAAACCACGTTTCAGGCATTCTTGGGCTATGTGGGCGTAGGTCGCCCGACCGGAGAACTTCAGCAATCTCAGACTGAAAGGCCGGTCTGGTCTGGCGAATCCGTCTACCAGATTGCAATCTGGGAAAATTTTGGTTATTCAAGATTCGACGATTTAAATTCGCTGCAATAAACGGAGGGTCAAAGGATCTTTCTGTAAACGTTTCTAGACATATCCTGTTAGCGGATCTGCAAGCTCTATCAGAGATCCAAGAGGGAAATAGCTCCAATTAAGCTGAATGCGTATGCGCAGTGGAAGGAAGCCTTTCGACTTCTTGTGTTATCTCGGAAAGTAGAAAGGAGACAGAAAACACTCAGCTTTTTGGTTGGAGAAAAGGTCGTGCCCTCCGGGCTCATAACCTGTTGAAGCAAAAACGGTTGATTGTGTTGTTGTTAGTTCTAAGTTACATGTGTCTGAGAGGAGCACAGCTCCTTACATAGTATCCACATCGCAGCCACCAGTAGGTCGGACCACCTTAGCCACACTGTCTCAACAATCAGTCCCCTCTGCACCCGATCATCAAATTCATGCCGTTAAATAAGGTCCTTCTCATCACACGCTTCATCCGCACCTTTGATCACACACAGCTCGATGTAAGCGATGAGAGCAATCTCCCGAAGGTATTCCAAGCGGCCGAACCGTGGTCTAACCACATACAAGAAGTGGCATCACAGCTCTTTCTTCCTGGGACTAATATCACTATAGATGAGTGTATCCCATCGAGTGCTAACTGACGCCAGGTACATGGAGATAAGAGTTACAGCCAATCAGCGTTCTGCCCAGAAAATTTTGACCCAACCAGAAACCGCACCTTATCCGTAGGATGGAGATAAAAGCGGGGTAATTGTACCTGGCGCCAGTTAGCACTCGATGGGATACAGGTCATCTTGAACATCTATGTTGGACATACCACAATGCCGTTGTGGCGGCTTCTCGGCGAGCCTCTCTATGTCTCTACAGAACTTGCTACAACATGGCCAGAGGTAGATATGCTGGACGAAAATGGCAAAACTGTAGAGCGAGGCGTAAAGAACGCGGATGGCTACGTAACTCTGCAAGGCAGCACTGTCGCCGGCGTCAAGTACATTTATTCTCTTAGGGGTGGGGACCCGTTCAAAGAGCCGACCTCAACCATTACATGACATCTACATACACTTTCCAGATGATCTAACTAACCCCAGAACAATATTCCTGGCTGGAAGAACTACATCTTCACTTCAATCTACCAGAACCCGCGATTATCTGTACGCGTTGTGGCTACGCCCTCGTTGTGGATGGCGACCGCGTTGGGCGTCATTTGGGAAAAGAGCATCAAGTTCCTAAGCATAAGCATCGAAAAATTAATTCCCTACTGCTTGTAATTTACTAAATTACACACTTTTCGTCCGTGCGCCAACCCCCTGTCGTCATTACTTTCATGAAAATACATCCTGTTCATCCGTGCACGCTGGTTCTGCCCTTATCAGGGCTCAATGGCAACAAGCCACCGAGGCAAACCTCTGGGGTAGTCTTTCCTTATCCTAATTCTCAAAGCTTTCAACGCAGAGCTCTGTAGTGTGGTGGACGCTAGGCGGCTAGGATCCCTGAAGGGATGGATAATAGAGGTTATTCCTTTTCCGAAGAAAGAGAAAACAACAGCCTTGGTCCATGGCCGTTATCGGTTTTGCTGCAAACCCTGTCGAAAGCCCAAAAACGGCTTGCTTGACCGGCTGCAGCCATAAAAGCCCCTCAGCACAGACTGACCGCACAGGGCTTGATAGCAGGCAGCTGACCACGCAGCGATGGAAGCACAGGGCTATCGGGCGTTTAGTGGCACTTGTGACAGACTGACAAGTGCAGGCGAGCAACTGAAAAGCGGCTCGGCGAGTCACTTAGTGGCGCGAGAGGACAATTGCGGCATGGCAGTGAGGGGAACCGAATTGGCAATCATTGGCTGTCGTATGTTTCCTCAATTGTGAGGTGACACGCTTTACCCCGCAAACCATGTCAGAATCAAGCCGTTGTTAGGCACACCGGCCCGCTCCGCGTAAGTAGCTATTTTTAGCTTGAATTGGATTTTTAATAGCTTATTAAAAAGGGTAGCTTTTAAAGTGTAATCGCGGACGCGCTGTTGCGAACATTCGGAGCTATTATGCGAGGCGTCAAAGTTGGCATCTTCACAAGCAGACGTATCTGGCGTGCGATTCGTTTGACAAGGAGATTGTTGATTCGGTTCAGGATCAGCGAGGGGTCCCACGTGTGACTCGTATGTCCAGATTGGAGCGTCTTCCACTCGAGCCGGGGATAATATTGGCGCAGTGTCTCGCCCGTGGCGGCCTTTGACTCAGTTGTGCCAGGATTGGTGCCTGTGCTATCTATATATTACTCGTTAGGGCATGTCACCGCAAAGAAATTCAGTGCCAATGGCTTACCCAACTGGTCTGCGATGCTGACTCCTGTAGGTGTCGTACCAGTTTGCGAATCATCGCCCTCATCGTCATCTTCATCTTCCGTGTCAGAGTCATCTTTAGAGGGAACCAAACTTGCCGCATCCTTGGATTCTCCAAGAGCCGAGAGTGCCTCCTTATCGCACAGTGATATAGTGACTGCTCGAGAACCAGGGCGAGTGAAGCTTTGACGCAGCGTCTGCTGCCCACACCAAAGCTTGAAGACCATTACATCAAAACGGACCGTACACCTATCTACTGAGCAGCGTTAGCGCTTCACCCATCTTATGGGTATGACTACTTTGAGCGGCACTGGAAAAACGCGATGGATAAGCCGCAATGGTATAGCGACATGCAGTCCGCTGTGGGTAGCCTGTTCGATGAATACGTTCGACAGGCTGAAGTTGAAACTCAAGCTCAAGCTGGGCTTTTGGAAGATGAAGCCAATGAGATCGAAGCTGACGTTAACGACTACAGCTCATTTGGAAATAGGTCAATCCGCTCATTAAATACGCAACGAAGGAAGGTCAAGGCAGTTAGCGACCTTGACCTATTTCAGACACGGCCAATCTACCCCCAAGATCTCGACGTTGCAAACCCTCTTGAATGGTGGAACCGGCATCAATTGGAATATCCAGTCTTGTATCGAACTATCGAATGGCGCTAGATCTGTTCTCAATTCCTCGCATGAGTGCTGAATGTGAGAGGGTGTTTAGCCAGACAAAGAAGATGATCACCGACGAGCGTAATCGGCTAGCACCTGAGGTAGTCGAGGCAGATCAACTCCAAAAGCACTGGCTAATGAGAGGGCTGGTAGTGTAGAATTAATGCTTGCGTACGAAGAGCAAAAGAGTTTCAGTGTGTATAGTGCCATTTAGTGAACCCCCTTTCAGCAGCACGGTAAAAAACCTCGGGATCACTGGATCAGACTGTCAGGCCTAGACCGACCGGGCCGCTGAAGCCAGGCAAACCCAGACCGACAGACCGAAGGGGCTGGTCTGAGTCGGTCGGTCTGTTAGCCACACTGGCGAGGAGACTGCTAGGACAGCTCTGAGCTGGCTAAAGGAGTCACCAGGCATCTACGACGAATGCGACTCAGCTTTGTGATGGATAAGGGGACGATTGGACGTAGAAAAGAGTATCAAGATGCGATCCGGAGGCAAAAGGCACACTGGGATGACTTTCTTGCAAATTGAGCCAACATGATCCCTCCATAATCTGGTAGCTAAACATGCTGCAAAGACACCATTTACAAGTTGCTTTTGGCAACTTATCTGAAGGGTTCTTGCAACTTTCAGCGGCTTCACAATCAATAGCTATAGTCTATGTTTCGTCCTGACCAACGCTAAGTGGGCACCTTCTGACCGCGGCTTCGACATTTCTAAGAAGCAACCTTCTGACGGCTAAAACCAAGGAGAGGAACCCGTATTCCAGTTGTTTGCACGGTTCAGCAGCTGCCGAGGCTCGCTATGGTCAATGTATTAGCTTAAGCGAATCCAGTAAGCGGAATTAGGGGATAGCATACCGCGAGTGCACCTGTTATCGGTGTAGTGGCCGTTCACGTAGCAGCCGCCAGTCTTGTGCCAACCGCTTCGGACAATTTAGCAAGAGCATCTCTCATCATGGCGCATAGCGAGACGTACCAGTTTTGATCTCCACCGATGATGATGCATTCTCCAGTCTTCACACAAGTGAAAATGTAGTCATTTCCCCTGTACACGGTGTCCGAGATTCCATATTGGGTGCCTGGCCCTGAGCGACAGTTCACAGTTGCAGAACCACCAACAATGGTGCAAACCCGGGTGGACCGCTTGAAGATTTCGTCGCCAACGTCGCGAGCAGCGGTAGTGCCAGGAGCAGGTTCAGCACCCACCATAGATATGTCACCACCACCGTCGACCGGGGCAGCCATGAGGCCGGCGGGGAGGAGTGAGGCAACGAGGAGGGAAACGAACTTCATGTTGCCGGACGGAAGCGGAGGCTTGGTTGCTTCGCTGCTACTTTGAGATAGAGTGTGATGGTCTGCAGTCTTGCTTCATGGGACTCGAGAGGAGTGGACGCAGGTTTTCCGTTTCCTTATATAGAAGTTTAGAACCCTCCTGGCTCCAGCCATAGAAGTAACACAACGTAAGACGGCATAATTCCCTTCCCGGACTAACATGGAGGAAGCTGCTTCGGTATGATGCTTCTGACCGGATGAAGGAGGAGATGTGGAAGTCGAGAGGGCAGGCCGATGTAATGCTAAACAAGAACAAGTAGGGCTCTCGGCCTGGCAAAATTTTAACCACTTGTTTTCCTTTCAAGTAAGTGAATTAAGCTTCCGATAGACATGACACGTATGACACCGGCCGGACATCACTCCTCTTTTAGTGTAACCCTCGTATTCTGGGCCATTAGCCCGCATCTGGAGCTACTAGTACTCGTCTCTACCCCTTTTGTCATTGAAAGGAGTGACGCCTAGATAGGAAGGTGACAGTATTAACCCCTCAAGACACTTCAGCCTGTATATACAGCCATCTCCACAGCCAGACGGACTTATTAGATTATTAATAGCAGAGACCCACACAAACTTCCGCCGCAAGTCGACGATCGACGGAACAACCCCGTGGGGTTAGTGCTAAGGCGTTTCCTGGAGAGCGCTTCTCTAAATGTGCGACAGGATCAAGAAATATACACGATTCACCTTAATATCTGACAGTTTGGTGTCTTATCTCCGGTGGGCTGAAGCCTGTCTTACCGGCCAGTGAAGTACTAAGATGCCATTCATTGCTTGTGATGCATCATGAGTGCTCAATCGGCCCGTTCCTATCGCGAATCTAGCCCCGCACCGCGTCCTGTCCGCGCATCACGTCCTGTCCGGGCGTTTCCGCGACCCGCTTGTGGCTGCCTTTCCGACTACGACCTACCAGCTCCACTACCGTTATGTTAGCACCCGAATCGCAAAGAGTCGTGTTGCACTGAGCGTGCTTAAAGGGTTAAAGTGAATATGATGAGCAGCAGCAATGTGTTGATTGATTGTTGTCTAAAGTGCGGGGTACTCCAGCCCACAGATTTCTACTTGAAGCACACAGGTTGATTACTAAGTGCTGTTGTTTCCTGAGGCGGGTTGAGATCATGCCTAGCCTGCGACAAGTCCTCATACGTAATTGATTGTTTTCTTCTTTCTTGTCAGCACTTCCACCAGAATGGAGACGTTGGTAGTACATCACGCGACACAAGAGCGACAGCAACCCCGGCCGCAGTTCAGGCTTTGTGTTTTCATTGAAATTAAGTATCGCCATGATGATATTAAAATCTTCGCTTATAAGAAAACGTAATTCTTTACTATTACTCTTTCTCTTCAGGCTTACCCCTCTAGTCGCCGTCGCGCCAATATTACGCTTCCTCGTCTTATGAACCTCGTCCCAGCACTCCTAGATCTAAGGAGTCGTTTTAAGGTTAGTCTTCATCTCTAGACAAGTCGCCTCGGAAACGCATTCCGACGCTCCCGCGCTTACCTCTTATAGTTACTCCTTCCGCCCTTATTTTAGGACCTACTACTTTTGTAGCTAGCTCCTCGTGAAAGGGCAAATACTAACCCTACTTACCTAGCTTCACCCTCGTAAACCGTAAGACGGGCTTCAGCTGCCGAAAATGGGACACTGAGCACTTAGGGAAGCGAGCTCTGAGATGCCTTGCTACTAACAGCACGAGACTTGGCAGAGGGAGGACTTTCTCTATATAGGCCTCGGAAGATTACGTCAGAAACAGGGAAACGAGACTGTATCATCGGGAGAGAGCCCTCCGGGTTTGCCTCGGGCGTAAGAGTGTATGTGTATGTAGAGCGCACGATCCTCCCTGCTCGCAGCCCGTACTTCTGTTGTGCTGCATTTGAGGGGGCTAGTGGGTACCGAGTGCATTGGTGGGTTGTCTTAACTGATACCCAGATAGTGAGGCTAGGCGGCCAAGCCTGGATATTGGGGGCTCAATCGACCTGAGTCCTACCAAGTCCCCGTCACCACCAGCCATACACTTGTATTACTTTTTCTGGAATCCAATTTGCATAGATATTGCCTCTTGCAGAAGCATAGAACAGTAGCCGCCGAGTGCTCCACCGAACAGCAAGGGTGATTGGTTGTTCCTCGCTTCGTCAACCTTAAACTTCAGCCACTCGGAACAATTCAGTAGGTGATCCTCGGGTAAGCAGCTCATTGAGGCAGGAGAGAAGAGTTGCATCTGTCCTATAGGTCAGCTTCATCGCGTTGGCTATACGCCGCTCAGTTAAGCGCTGTAACAGTGACGATGAGCGACGACGAGTACGACAGTAAGACGGGCATGAGCCGGGAAGTCACGAAGCAGAATCGCATGGTTTACCGCAAGACGCCGAACCCAAAAGACTTCTCTCGTTGTCGAGCGCCCTAGTTGAGCATGTGGATGTATTGCCTCTGGGAGTATAAATATGGCCACCCGTCCCAGAGGTAGCAAAGAAATTAACAGCTCGTACAAGACACGGAACATAAACAACTTTCAAGCCGATTCTTACTTTCTCTTTCAAAAACTCAAGATGAAGATCAGCGCCTTCTTCCTCGCCGCTACCTTGGCTAGCGTGATGGCCGCCTCCTCCCATGTCCAGGAACCGGCCCTCGAAGCTCGGGCCGCGTGTTGGAATCGAAGCAGCTGCGGCAGAGCCTGGAGCGGCAAGTGCGAAGACTACTGCAAGCCCTACAAGTTCTCTCACATGGCCACGACCGACTGCGGCTGGTTGGCGAAGCGCTGCTGCTGCAAGACCTAAGGGAGTGCGCGGCCAGCTACTCTAGGTGCCGTGCGATTTCGGCGATTCTGCCCCTCTACGACAATATTTATAGGGCGAGGGCTCTTTCGGCTTTGTGGGACTTTTGCTGGTGGATGACGGAGGCTAGAGCCGGGTGGTGGGTGAAACTGGTTGGGTATCCTTCCGATAATGTCAATGGTACTTAGCCGAGAACCGCTAGAAATATACGGATCTGACAACTCTGCAGCGCTTCTTTGTTTTAAGCAGAGAAACCAGGGCCAGGTTTCAGTGGCTTTCTCTTGGCGTACAATATCGTGATATGTCGTTCAGAGGGTTTCTGAACTTCGCCGTAATAGTGGGTTTTGCCTTTAACCGCTGTAGCTGGCAGGTTAACGGGCTATGGTTGACAAATCAATAAATCTTAGAAGCTCACAGATACATGGCTTCTACGGTCACCTAATATAATAAGCCTGGAATTAGACTTATCTTCTGGCCGGATTTAAGGCAGATAGACCTCTTTGAGCCACTCGACTGCGATATGGTTGTCCGTCGAGCCGTTGTCAGAAGTGATATATTACTAGTCGGCTATCTTCTTGAACTCATTGATAAATTATTGTTGCTGAAGTCCTTGGCTTTAAAATATAATCCCGTGTTTCAGAAGACGGCTATCTGCAGTCACGGCTTCGATAAAGCTAGTCTAAACGCGGGATTGAGAGCCTTTGAGGACGGCCTTCCTCTTCGGATCGCTACTGCCGATAACCAAGGAATCCAAGCCTAGATTCTGGAATGGATTATTGAATTTTATGATAAAGACGTTAATTACCCACCAAATCCCGCTATGGTACCACCCTTGTCAATATTAACTGTGTTCTCAGGCTTGATCTAGCTATACTCGCGCTCCTGGATATCGAAGTGCTAATTAATAGCCTTTGGGGTAAAAGAATTGAATCCTGAGGCCTCCTGGCGTTTCCCTTTTTCATGTTGATAACTGGATGACGTTCATGAACCTGGCTATCTAATGCGCACTGATAGCCCTTTCCCGGGCCTCGCTGTCTTAGGAGCGCAGCGACAGTGGCGCGAACTTGGCTGTGAGAAGGATCATAGCTCAAGGCGTCTTGCCGAAGTATCCAGGTAACTAATCTGGATCCCTGGGGCTTGGATAATAGTTGGGCAGGATGGGTGACCTCAGACTTTGATGGTATACCTCTTAATCAGCCCGAAAGAGTCGGTTGAGGGATGTCATGCTTCTGGGCGGCTTGGTTATGGGAGAGGCCGTAATCCGCGATATCTAATATTTCTTTAATAATGCCATCCTCTGTATAAGACGCTCGAGGCATTTTCAAGGCGATTATGGAAGGCTGGTGTAGATAAAAATCCTATAAGTTTTGGGGAGGACTGTTCGCGGAGGAGGCATTGACAGAAATTGTATGCTAGGGCTATGCGACCAAACCGCTTATATACTATAAAAAGAAATAGCATAATGCGAAACAGCATGAAACTCTCAATAAGACACAGCTTGTTTCATGTAAATAAGTTCAATTTCGGCCAAGCATCGTACAAGTGAAATTGAGCATTTTGTATGGGGAAACTATTTTTTTGCTTATTGGTAGAGGGGTCTTATCGGTGGAGGGGTATCGCATGGTAATAAGTTCTATCATTTCGCGCCTCTCCTATCCTAAACTATGGCTCCTTCATCACAGCAACCTACGGATTACACCTCACAGTCCCAGATGACTATTGATCCTACTGTTGATGTAGAATCAGTGCCATCTGAAGTCCTGAACTTCGATTGCATATTTCGCGCGACATATCCCAACAAGGGCCAGTTAGGACCATCAGGGAAGCGCAGAACGAAGGGAGCAGTTGTTTATGAATGCCTTGTCTGTTCTTCTGATCAGGCCTGGTCAAATTCGAAACGAGACAACGCCATATACCACCCGAAGCGCAATCACCGCGATATCGTTAACTCTTCGGATAGTACAATACTCGAACGATTATCAGACATGGGTCCTCCAGCAAAGCAAGCTGGGCTCGACAATTATTATACAGCAACCCCATCAGAATCGGCCCTCCGCAAAGTGTTCAGTCCTCAACGATATACTGAGAGCATGGTTAGCCTTCTCACGCGTCGTCGATTACCCTTTTCAGCAGTTACATGGGATGAGATACAGGATATAATGCTAGCCTGTAATCCCGCAATTGAGGACCTTCTAAGGACATCAAGACACGAAGCAATGCGCCATATTACCGCAAGCTTTGGCCTATATCAGTCGCAGTTGAAGGCTAAGCTACAGAGCGCCGTGTCGAAGATCTACATCTCATCTGATCTCTGGACATCGCCACATCGCCATGATGTGCTAGCAGTGTGCGCACGATGGGTTGACGAAGATTATGAACCTAGGAGAGCACTTTTGCGTCTACTAGAGATTCGACATAGTCATTCTGGTGAACATCAGTCTCGGCTTATCTTCTCGACACTCGACCTTTACGATATCGCGAACCAACTCGGCTGTCATACAGGTGATAATGCGACATCAAACGACACATGTTTACAGCATTTATCAACCAGGCTTAAGCAAGACCATAATGTACGTTATACTCATGCTTTGTTCTCTATCTAGTCGTCTTATCTATAGTAGATCAACTGGGATCCGAAACGGCACCGTATCCGGTGTATCCTTCATGTTATCAACCTATCCCTTCAAGCATTTCTTTTCGCATCTTCACGTGAAGCACTTCAAGCCGCCCTTGATGCTGCTAGCGATATCACCGAGGATGAGCTCTACGAACGGTTCAACTTCGCCCTGAACGACGCGTCTGGTGGTGATACACTAAACCAGCTAGATCAGATGGGAGCTCAGACGAGACATCCTGGCGGCGTCGCATTCAAAAAGGCTTCCGTTCAGAAGGGAAATCCTTCGAGATCAGATAATAGATCAGGCAATAACGCCAGGTGGAAGGGCTGGATTATGATCCCTGCGCCGCGCAAACTACACCGGATCGGGCTGTGGCTACCGTATCTCTTTGAGCGGCACAAGGCAACAAAGCGGTCAAGACAGGGATATCAGGCCAATTAGAGGAATTAATTCTGCCAATACAGGGTCAGTTTGTATATAAAAGGCCAGCAGCCAGTAAGAATAGATATAAAAAATTAGTAGCCAGTTAAAGTCAGGAGAAAAAGAGGCTATACTCTTATAAAAGTAGCCAAGCTACAAAGAAATACAGGCTCTTATAGCTGCCTCTATATGTAAAGCCTCTGTAGTCTTCTGGTATGTGGGGTCAAGTGGGGCGAGTGACCTTATGTTGCCTTGTGCCGCTCAAAGAGATAGGGTCAGAATCATCATATACAATCATTTTTATGATCAACAGACGTAATTTCTCTCAATTGGCTGGCTGACTTTTGTGTAACGTACTCCACAAGTGAGTGTCCCACCTATACTGTGCACCTAAAAATGGCAATTTTGGATTTCGCAAATTCCGCCATAGCACTGCTAGCTTCTTGAAAATCTTATCCTTAGTGCTCTGAGCAAAAAGTCATATGTTCGAGGTTTCTCCAAATCGTTTGGCGGCCTATTCGATATTCTATGCCTGAAAATAGGAGAAAAGACAGTGCGAACAAAGCTTTTCCACGTAATATTCTAAATAACACAAATGGAATTTAGGAAACGTCTTGTCTATGTGTTCCCGTTGCTTATTGACCTGAATCTGAGTTTTCAGGTAATTTGAGCTCGTTTGAGACTTTCGATGTAGTTTAAGGTGTAAAATGGGTTTGGGACACTCGCTTGTATGGGACACTCACTTGTGGAGTACGTTAATTGAAGTTGGTGAGTTTTGGTGGAGCTTTTTTTTTGTTTTGCATGGCAAAAGAGGGCTGTGGATGGTACTATGATACGCAGTTAACATTTCGGACCTAGCAGAAGTACTTCTTAGCCCTGATCAACATTAACTCATTGACCAATGGTATCTGAGTGCTCCACAAATCCCTCGCAGCCCAAAGAACGCCCCGCTAAAACCACAGTTGCATGGAAGCCCCGTTGATTGTGAACTCATCCTCCCGGATTGACGGCCCGGTTGCTCCTTGTCGACAGCGCCAGATGAGGCCTAATAAATGGCGGGGATGACATCGTCTAAACGTTCATCTGGAGTTAAGCTCAATGTCCGTCTGGCGTCAGGCGGGGCCCGTTAGCAACTTGCATAAAATTCGCGCTTCTGACTGGTCAAGGACGCCCTCATGATCACATTAGGAACATGCCACCGACCTTCAGCCAGAATAGGCACCAAACGGCCGGTAATGACTCACGTTGTTCGAGGCTCATTTTGCATTAGCGAGCACATCTGGCGATGCAAGAACCTCTTCACTTCTGGTCCGCGCGCCCAGCTGCCCGGAAAAGCTGTGGGAAAGGCGTTATGTTGGTGGACTGAGTCAGACGGCGCGATATGAGGCCGAGATGATCTGCGCCCTATCGCGAAAAATTCATGAATAATTTATAATCAATAGTTTTTCAGGGGGGTGTCGTCACGATATTCACGATACGTCCCATCAATATAAATTGCTTCCCCATGATGGCACTTCGTCCGGATCATGACCAGGCCAGCCCACGATTCCCTTCGCTCAAATTGCAAGCCACATCCATCAGCATCAACTACCGATCGCCATTGTCACGATCCAGCTCGCAGCATGGCACACTTTCAAGAGCATCTATCCTCGTCATTCAGAAGAAACAGTCAGAAGAGCTCAGCCATTACCGTGGAATCTATCAGCCAAAGCTCGTACATTGCCCTCTCCAGCGATTCTGAACAGGGTCTCCAGCTGTTGGTCTCGGGCGAAGTGACTATTGAAGTCCATGAACAGTGCGTGTATATGGCCCGACTTGATGCCGAGTTAAAACTCCACATCGTATACAAACGGCCCTTCAAGTCACACTGCAATGCTTGCCGAAACTGGAACCATCAACTGGCGAGCTGTCAGCTCCTCACTCAACCAACGACTCTCGCTTATGGAAAACACACATTTCCCTTTTCAGTTCTGATCGAAGGAGACCATCCAGCCTCGATGGACACCTCACTCATCTCGGTCAAGTATGGCCTTGCAACTGAGACACAGTTCGCCCGCCACGAAGCCGCTTCTCTCAAGACGGCCAAGAACGAACAGGCCATCATTGTCAAGCCTTCACCTCCCGATCCTCGAAGTTCACAACGAACGGTGACCACGGTCGACCCAATCACGATCATTACCCATCACGAGCCCGTTATAGACGCTGAGAACTCCAACCGATTCTCTTTCGAGCTAGAGGGATTGAACGGTTCTGATGGTGCCATTGGGAACCCTCAATCATGGAAGCTCGATGAGATCAAGTGGCGTATAGTTGAGACAACAAAAACGACTCAACCAGCGTGTGAGAAGCACCGTCTCGCTTCCCTTTCGGACATGGGTCGAGTGATGCGGATACGGGACACGCAAGTGCTTGCGAAGGGCGGAATAAAAGATGGCCGGGCACTCGATGGTACTATTGGGAACTCAAAAGGGAACATGGGGTTTGACTATACGATCAAGAACCGGCAGCCACAGAAAGACGGACCAGGGTTTGCATGCGATAACAAATGGGCTGGTGGCTTTGAGATTTCGCACCGGCTCCATGTCTGGTTCTGTCTATCGCTGGAGCGGTCCCAATCGGCCAAAAAGGGATCCACAGAACGGGTCATGCGTGTGTCCTACGACGTTGTACTCACGGACCCTACGAGCAAGGATTTGGACTGTGACCCTCATGTGCCACCCACGTATGAAGAAGTCGGCGGTTCACCACCAGACTATCACGACGACGAGCCTTAGATCAAGGATGAGCGAAGGGGTGTTGATGAAGAGTAAAGGAACCAGGGTAGGCAAATGTGAATAGATACTTAGTGGCACCACAATCTAGAATAGGGATTTATTTCTCATATTAGCATTTCAGACTATTGGGTGCTCTACCATGAACTGTTTAGCACTTTAAGCCACTAGCTCTGTAGAGACTACCCCTTGTGATCTGTGACTCTTTGATAGGTGTTATATCCTGTAATTATATGGTCCCCAACCAAAATGGGTATATATCATAAGAGGATTAGTGAAAGTACATTTCAAATGCGCTATTTAATATATTATTAAGAAAGTCAAGTAAGGAAGAGATATAAGTCAAGGGCTGAGGAGGATGTTTATAATTAAGTATAGAAAAAATATATAGGCAGTAGTATATCTAACAAGTGTTACGGCTTGGTTCACCGTAAGCTTCTATAAGCAGCTGTAAGCACCACTGTAATTGCTCCAATAGCGATTATAGCCCAATCTTTTGCTATGTGGCGTAGTGGTTAGATGCGACCGTTATAATAAGGCATTTTAACTATATTTTAAAGCTCTTTCTTCTTAATTAAATAAGTAATTAAAGATAACGTGTATGATAAGCAAGTGGGCATCCAAGTAAGTGGGCCACTTTGTCAGATATTAAGGTGAATCGTGTGTATTGCTTGATCCTGTCGCAATCGAAGGACCATTGAGACCTTATATCTTCGACTGGTTCCTTCTAGGACTTGAATCCTAGAAAGTCCTAGATGAAAGTCCTACGATCCAAGTTTAGGACTTCAAACTTTAATCCTGAACCTTAATCTTGAAGTTGAGGGTGAACCCTACTGTACCAATTACCCCGCGTATCAGGTCCTGATACACGATTTGATGGTCCGTGCCCTTTGGTATGGGTCCTGATACACAGAATCATGGCCCGTGCACGCTACGCACCCTGTCACAGCAGATCAGGTTCTAACCAATCAGGATTTTCCTCTAATCGTGTACCCTATGTCTAGATTATCGGTTTCTGTGTACAATATACCACTGCCTGGAGAACGCCACGCACGAACTACGTAGATGCTACCATGGAGGTATCGTTAGGTGGACTTCGCTCCCTTGGTCTCCGGAAAATCGCCATGTTGCTTCATCGAAGCCAGTTATTTTGGCGCCAGACAACGAAGCCAAAGCCATTTGGAAGCTATTCCCTATCCCGTCAGCAAATATGATTCAAGGCCAGAGATCCCAATGATGAGCCCTGTTGGCTGAAGATGGCTACTGGCAAGAAGGTGTAGACATCTACATACTAGCATCAAATTAAAATGAAACGTCAGCCTTATGGGACTGCCGGAAGTGGGGCCTCAAGTGGATGAGGGGTTTTTGTCATTCGAAGGTAGGGTAGATTTTCCTGCCACAATAATCAGGCCGTTGTTATCCAGTCTACAACCTCTATGAACCTCAGTTCGTATCAGATTATAATTACTTTACCTCATCTCCCGAGATCCAAAGTCGCAAATCTTATTTCTCGAAATACTTCGACCCAGAGATCGGCCTTCACGCCGTCAAATGGTTGAGATTTTCATGGGCCAGTCACCGCTCCATTCTCAGCTTATATCAAACCTTCGGCAATGACCCCTCTCTTACATGAAGCCTTAGCTTATTCGACCCAAAACTATCCAATTGTTGATTGTCAACTCGGACAAGATGACTACAAAGAAACCTAAAGGCACGGTAGCGGGCACGACTGTCTTGCACCACAAATCCAAATCCAGCCGCCCTAGACGTCGCTCCCCCAATCTTAATATTCCAAAAGTTCAGCTGAGGGACGAGACATTCCATGTCGGTTACACGGGGCTTTCAGACCGGGTCTACATCTATTTCGACAAACGCGGCAGAGCCACCTTGATGAGTCCCCAATGGAAACAAGTTTCGTTCGATGCGGTAAGACTGTCGAAACGATACCATGGCGCTAAGAACTTGCAAGCGCTTGTGGCTGGAGTGAAGGCCCGCGAGGCGGACAAAGCGGCCCATTCAGGCGAGATTTAGACGAGTTGGGTGACACCTACTCAATTTTCGGACCTTGAATTGTTTCGTGCGCGTTGTTACGAGCCAGAGAAAACCGATTTATTGTGCTATCGCAGATAAACTCCCTAGAGAAAGTACTTAGGACCTTTGGAATAGACCTGTGCGCCCCAAATGCTACACCAGTTTCGGCAAGCAAGCTCCGGAAATCATACTTAAGCTACAAAGCAGCGGTAAAGATCAAAGAGTGGGATTGTACCATTCCGTCATGTCCATTAGCACGTCAAGTGATTGAGAAAGGAAGATAACGATGTCAAGATAACATATATGGCATCATGAGATGACAACCACAGGCCGCAAAGCACAGAGACATATCCGGAAGGCAACAAGAGCAGAATATGCTACGCAATCAGTGCTTCCAGTAGGCAAATGCGACTTGTACAGTAGGGTATCTATCATAACAAATTTAAAATCCAATCACTCTTCTTTACGCCATCACTGCAACTCATGGCTGTGCCAATGCCCTTGTAAGAACTTGGGTAATCCACGTCTTGAACGGCCCCTCCATCCAGTCGACAATTGCCTTGAATGCAGCTTGAAGCTGATACATACCCGTCAACGAACCGCTGTTGCCAATGATAGCCTGCTCGGCATAAAGAATTTGCTAAAGAAGGTTAGTTTCACTGACCAGAAGGACAGAAAGACGGGGAATATAACTCACGACTTCATTCCCACCATCCACCGCAAACATGATCGTCCAGGAACCTGCTGAAACCTAGTCCTACAGTCCAAAATCAATTGTTGTACAATTGATTTATTTTACCCCGCTTTCCAGGGGGTAAACTTGATTTTTGACCAGGGGTAGACTTGAATTTCTAAAATCGACTAGCGTTGCGGTAGACTCGATTTTGACAGGGGGTTGACTTGGATTTCTGATTGGTGCTTGGTTACGCGTTCAGGCAAGACAACACTTTCACAGCAGCGCGTGAACTTTCTGACTCCGGTTTATCAGCGTCTATCGCGACAAATGCGAGATATAACTAACAATTCTTATCAATTCTAATTAGAGCCGATTTATTATATCATGTCACTCAAGCCTATGACAGAGCTCGGTTCTTGTAACCCTATATACCTGTTTATTCAGCCGAAGGCTGACTCTACATTAATCCATAAGTTTCCAGAATAATGAGGGTTTGGTGCAGACAAGGGTAATAAGTTTCTCGGGCTCTGATTGGCCCAAGTTTTGTATTGCCAGCCGCAAATCGTTCGACAATTGGCTGTTGGTTCCAGAGAAGTGGGCCTCAGCCCCTCTGCACCATCTCGCCGTTTGTTTACTCAGAAAGATGATTTGTTTACGTTACACTTGGCTGAAGACAGCCATTTCGTCTGCTTCAACGCTTCTGCGTGTCTTCTTTTCGTTAGGCAATGGGTCCTAAACCTACTTCCCGGTAGCTGTATAATGGACATAATTCCAATTGTCTGTGCCCGCTGTGGCAAGGAGAGACCGGCGGGCGACTTCGTCAGCAAAAGGAAATCTGCTGGGAACACGAAGAACTGCCTTGATTGCCGTAATAAGAACAATTCTCATGTCAGCTCTGTCTCCCCACTCTGTAATATCAATGCTAACTAAATGAAGTATTCCAGATCCAGAGACGCGACCTTGACGCTGAGAAACCTAGCCTCAGCTGAGAGATGTGCCCCGAAGAGAACCGACGGGGATGCTGGCTTACCGCCTCCTAACGAGAGATCCGGAACCCAGCCTACGTCGCCAGAGAAACTACGGCAACGTCATGCAGCTAGGAGGCTATTCAGAGAGTCACTTAGCCAGCCGCACGTAGTGCTGGGGACGCCAATTCCACCAACCCAACAAAGCACGCGACGTTTCCGTGCTCTAGCTCCCTCACCTCCCGTGCAGCCAACGGCCCATCCAATAGCCTCACATTCTGACCCATCTACTGTCCGAAGCAGCACAACTGGTTTGGGTTACTCTTACTTGGCTGCTAGGTTCCACAAGGGCGGGAAGGACTCGCAAGATGAACCCTCCAAGGCCGTGGCGAGGGCCAAGCAGGCCGCTATCCAGCGCGACCATCGTTCACGACGCCGTGTAGGGGAGACTGTGTCACTGACTCCCATCATATCTCAACTCGGCGTCATTGGAGATTTTGAGGGTCCTGGAGAAGGTATCCTTGTCCTGTGGTCCCAGTGGTTTGTTCGGGCTAACCACGAAACGTAGATGCGAGTCAAGACCGACTACAGCCGAGTGAGCTTCTAGGTGGGGATGAGATAAGGAAGGAAGGAGATGACAGGGGCCAGTTCTCTGAGTCCGATATTGATGCTGAGGACTACTTTAACTTGCTGCTTTCACCTGCTCGACCACGGAGGTACCTCAAACAATTAGGGGTAGAGTCCGATCCTGATCTAGGGGACGAACATGAGAACAGCGATAACGATTGCGTGGATGGAAGCCCTCTTCGCCATCGCTTGCGGCAGCCTTCCGCACGGCCAAGGCGTGGTCGCCGTGGTCCTGCCCCTGGTACAGGAGGGCGGCCGAGAAAATCTCCAAGGCAAGCTCGATCGTCGATGCCGCCACGACGTATTCGGAGTCCAGTGATAATTCCACCCGAAGAATTGGCGGTCTTTCATGCACAAGATCCGGTGTGGAATGGCGACCTTGACGCTTGCGCCTTGACTGACCGCGACAAGGCCACCCTCCGCGAGTTCTGGACCACGCTCGACAATGACCAGATGGAATACTGCACTAGATGCCAAGAGTGTTGGTTCCAGATGAAGATAGATTCTGATGGCATTTGTGAGCGTTGCTATCGAAAGGATAGGAAACGCCGCCCCGACGAGCCGTATTTCTTCTCTGCGGATAATCAGCTCGACTTTGGCCCTGTACCGGCCCGATTGCCGCAGCTTACGCCTACCGAGGAGTCTTTGCTTGCCCGTGTTCACGTCCACGTGAACATTATGCTTGTGCGAGGGCAGCAGTACAAGTATCGCGGGCACGTGGTTCACTTTCTCCGCGAGGTTGGCTTGGTGTACAACCAGCTCCCGCTTTTGCCGCAGGAGTTGAACACTGTATTGCTACGTCCTGCCAATACGTCGTCCCACGCAAACCTTAGCCGGCAATTCACCCGCCAGTTCCGCGTGCGCCGCCAGCCGGTTGTCATATGGCTAGACTACCTCCACCGCCATCATCCTGGCTATCGATGCGTCGTCATCGACGAAGAGCGGCTGAATCAATTGCCCCAAGATGGCAATGTCCTGGATGCTATCCCCCAGAGTCAGGTGGAGGCTGCCGATGTTGGACCCGACTCACCCGAGGAAGATCAGGAGGCAGAGCCTGACCTGGAGGATGAGGCTGCGGTGCCGGACCTGTTGGCCAAGGACACGGAGCTTGATGCTCTGCGGTCTATTCTCTCCGGAGAATCAGGCGCTGATTCAGAGCTTTCCACAAGCTTCCAGGCGCAGGCACAACACGAGCTGCAGCTCCCGAATATACGACACACACCCATTAATGAGTTCAATCGCTCTCATGCCCTACTCTCCTTGGCGTTTCCCTGCCTCTTTCCTGACGGTAGAGCCGACTTTGTTGAACCTCGATTGCGCTCCATTGATTACAGAGATTACGTCGAGCACGCGATGCGCTGGCACGACGGGCGTTTTGCACGCCACCCGACCTTCCGCTTCGTCGCCTTCAACGCGCTAATGCGGTCACAAGCACGTTCACGGTCCAGATTCTTCGTGAAGCAACATGATGGGAGACAGCAGCCGCTGACGCGAGAGCAACTTATTCAGGCGCCGGAACACAGCGAGGACCCCGAGGCGCAGGCGCTGATCAACTCGATCACAAGGCATGCGGTGTCTATTCGCGGTACGCGTCCCTTCTGGAACAAAAGGAGGCAGGACCTCGAGGCTTATGCCTATAATCTTGGTTGTCCTGGTGCATTCATCACGTTTAGCCCGGCAGATTTACACTGGCGGAGTCTCTACCAGCACATGCCCCAGTATGACGACTGGCTTGCCGCCACCGAGCCGGAGAGGATGGCTCTATCGCGCCGCCTATTGCGTCAGAACCCTCACATTGCTGCTTTCCACTTCTACCGGCGATACTGCCTCTTTCGAGATATCGTGTTAAGCAAGAAGTTTAACATCACGGATTACTGGGATCGGTACGAATGGCAAGGGCGTGGTAGTCCCCACAACCACGGCCTGTACTGGATGGATAGTTGCCCCGGAACCGACATGGACGACGAAGCCGCTCGTGATGTATTTGCACGCACGTGGGGGTTCCACGTCACGGCGATTAACCCCGAGCCGAGTAGGGCAATGCCGCAGGGCGAAGGTAATCCCCTGAGCGTGGATCCCCTGAGCATAGAGATGACATTCTTGCGGCTCTCACAAATCGTGAACCGTTGCCAGCGCCACAAGTGCAATACCACGTACTGCTTGCGGGCGAGGAAGAGAACCGGTGACCTAGCGAGGGATATGGAAGGCGCTGCTGCAGATATCGAGGCGGCCAACGTTGCCAATCCAGAGAGGGAGTGTCGTTTTGACTTCCCTCGTGCCTTACGGGAGCTGGCCGCAGTCATCAGGAAGGAAGGAAGGTCGTACTACGTCTTCGAGGCGGCCCGGAACGACAGCCTCATGAACCACTTCAATCCGGCTATTATCCTAGGGTGGCTAGCTAATATCGACATATCTCCTTGCACCAGCTTACAGGCGGCAATCACGTACGCTGGGAAGTACTGCAGCAAATCTGAGAAGAAGACGGAGCCTTACTGCAAGCTTGCAGATCAAGTTTTGCCGCATACGGCACATCTTCAGCCCCTATTGTCCTTCTCCTCTCGCCTCATGAATAAGCTGATTGCCGAGAGAGATTATTCGGCGCAGGAGATTTCCCACCTTCTACTTAACATCCCTCTGCAAGAAGGCACACGGATGGTCGTCGTCGTGGACTGCCGTCCATTGTTGTTTATATTGCGCAGTAGTGCTGGGTGAAAATATATTTTGTAAAACTTGATTGTTCTTATTGAGATGAGAGTTCTTCTTAGGTTTATATCTCTAGACGATTTCATCTAGGACTTTGAACTTTAAATCTAGGACTTTCAGACTAACAGTTTGAATCCTGAAGATAAGGGGGATTCCCGGATTTTCCAACACGCCCCCATCCACCTTGTCTTCATGGCACAGGGTCATCGTGGACTTCAGTACTCCAAATAATACGACCTGCTTCCTCGATCGGACATGCACTAACTCGAATTGCTTCTAGAAAGTGACCATGGCTAACGGCGTTCAATGGTTTAGTGAGTCCGTCTGCTACCTGCTCGTGTGTGCTAACGTATTGCACATCAATGTTCCCGGCTTCAACTTCTTCTCGGATATGGTGCTCGGCTAACGGAATGTGCTTTGTCCGTTGGTGAAGCTCAGGGTTTCTGCATAGCTTTAGGGAACCCTGGTTGTCGCCGTTCAGTGGGATAGGCATATGTAGCGGAAGTAGCAGTTCAGAGAAGAGGTTCCTAGTCCAGGCCAGTTCTCTGGCACATTGGGAGAGTGCTGTATATTCAGCCTCGGTGGTCGATAGTGCTACTGTTTCGTGCCGTTTGGCCCTCCATGAGACTGTAGATCCTTCAAGTTGAACGAGCCATCCAAACGTGGATCTTCCCGTAACAGCGTCGCCTTTCCAATCCGAGTCGGCCCAAGCTGTGATGTTCCAAGCGGATTCAGGATCTTTCTTGACGCCCCCAAGCACCAAGCCGTGGTCTCTTGTCTGCTGTAGATAGCGTAGACCTCTTTTGATCAATCGTGAATGTGCTGGTGATGGATTCGACATGTATCTTGAGAGTACCGAGAGTAGGAAAGCTAGATCGGGTCTGGTTTGGGTCATTCCATACATCAGCGAGCCGGTTTTCGAGCTATAGTCTTCTCGTTCTTCTGGAGAAGCCGAGTCGCCATTGTCTCTTGGTTGCAGTGTCGAGAGTGAATTTCGCTCCATCGGGGTCTTGACCGGTCGGCAATCTTCCAAGCCGAATTTCTTCAGTATTCTGGTAAAATATGCATCCTGGGAAAGGTAGATCAGTCTTGAGTTCCTGTCTCGGGTTATTCTTACTCCAAGAAAATGGCTGGCGGGACCGAGATCAGTCATTGTGAAGATCTCTCCCAGGCGGGCTTTGTACCCTTGGATTGCTTCCTTGTTGCTGCCCATGATAAGGAAGTCATCCACATATGTGATGATGATCACTCCCGTTGTGGGATTGTGATAAACGGCCGTGTCAGACGTTGCTTGTCTGAAGTCAAGGGATTCCAAGGTCTCCTTCAGCTTCCTTTGCCATTGCCGAGGCGCCTGTTTGAGTCCGTAGAGGGATTTGATCAATTTGCAGATCTTCTCGGTTGAGAATCCTGACGGACGGTCTTCTGGGTGTTGGTCAAAATACTCGACAAGCCCTTCCGGCATTTCGATGAAGACTTGTTCGTCGAGGTCCCCTTCCAGGAACGCCGTCGACACGTCCATCTGCTCAATCTCCCAGTCAAGACAGGCAGCAACGGTGAGGAGGATTCTCCAGGTCGCCGCTTTGGCAACAGAGGCAAAGGTCTGGTTGTAGTCAAAGCCGAACTGTTGTTCAAAGCCTCTGACCACCAGCCGCGCCTTGAACTTGTCCAGGTTGCCGTCCTCGTTTTTCTTGACCTTGAATACCCACTTGACTGTAAGTGGCCTATTGTGAGCTTGGTTGCGGTCCAGCATGCGCCAAGTTCCTTTCGTGAGGAGACTGCGCAGCTCACTGTGTATTGCTCTGAGCCAATGCTCCCTTTGCGGACCTTGAAGCGCTTCAGTCATTGTTTTGGGCTCAGTGATCACCTCTTTTCGGAGATCGGGCAGCTTAGCTGATGTCATGGATGTTGTCGTCTGTCCATGCTGAGGATTATGCACCTCAGCATGCTGAAGATAGTTCACTTCAGACCTTTGTGGGCTTGGAGTCTTTGTCTGCTCCGTGACGGACTGTGGCCGGCTTGAGATGGGAGCTCCGTTCTTGCGGATTTCCGGCTCAACATCATGCTCAGTTTCGGTCAGGAATTCTGTCTCCCCAACCTTTTCGTAGAATTGCACATTTGCAGAGCGGACGATCTGATGTCCCTTTCTGCGAGAGGGCACCCAGCATGTGTAAATCTGTGAACCTTCCATGCATAGGTAGATTCCAGCCTCTCCTCTTGGACCAAACTTGTGTGATCTCAATCTTCGTTCCTGCGGTATGTGTATCGTGACTTGTGAGCCGCAGATTCGTTCTCCGGACAGATCCGGCTTATTGTCCTGTCCGGGGAAGGCTTCATTGAGAAAGCTTTCCATAGGAGTAAGGCCATCAATTGCCCTGGTGGCTGTCACGTTTGTCTTGCGCACCATATCTTCCAGGACCAATGGCCAGAGCTCTATCGGGATTCTTTCCGATTCCATGGTTGCTCTGACTTTGTCAAAGATGATGCGGTTAGAGCGCTCGGCAACTCCGTTAAATTCAGGAGTATATGGTGTCGTCTTGATGATCTTGACGCCGTGAGTGTACTCGAGGTTCTTGAGAGGCGCACCATAGAGCTCAGAGCCGCCATCCATCTGGATTGCGTGCACTCGGATGCCATACTGAGTTCGTATCTTGGAGATGAGCTGGCCTAGAAGTTCCGAAGCCATCCCCTTCCTCGTGAATGTGTAGGCCCATCTCATTCGATGCCTGTCATCTGTGGCAATCATTCCCCATCGTTCGCCTCTAATGCCCGGTGGGTTGACTTTGAAGGTGTCAACATGGATGAACCCGGCCCTGGAGGCTCGCTTCCGTTTATTTCGTGGAGTCCATCGTAGGGCCTTTGCGATATCGCAGGCGAGACAGTAATTGAAAGGCTCATGATTGTGGTGACTGTCGCAGAACATTCCTCTGGTCATTTTGGCAGTCTGCGATACCTGATATACGTTGACGTGGCCGAGTCTTCGGTGCCAAAGGTCGACATCCAAGCATTGCTTTGATGAAACAGTGTGGTGATTGCATGGTTCTGGCTGGAGTTCGGAGACGGCCTGGTTTGGAACGGCAGTCTTTCTGACCTCAGTGTTGACGTATAGACCGTCCCTTCCTATGCGGAGGAGACCAAAGACGTCTCCTGTTGGATCATACATGTCGTTCCCGTCTATCCAGCCGCCATTCTTGTATAGTCTGAGCCCTGACATGACGTTTACCGGAAACTCAGGGATGAACAGCGTGTCTTTGAGGTTGATTGTGACCTGCTCACCCCATTTGTTTATGAAGCAAATTTTGACTGTCCCCCTGCCGGACGGGTACACCTTCCCACCGCCCGTAACGAGGACCGTTCGGGTTGCAGGCTGCAGTTCCGTGAACAGATTTTGGTCGTTGCGGATGTGGACTGACGAACCTGTATCGAACAGCCATTCTGCGGTTGAAGAGATGTTATCAAGGGAGACTTTACACGTCTCTGTATTGTTCATAGGTAGCTCGTCTGAGACGCTGTCTTCAAGAATCAGAAAAGATCGCTCGACTGTCATATGATTTGATTCCTTGATATGGAGATTCTTGGTGTTGTCGCGTTGAAGATCATGCTCCATGAGTTCCTTGGCGAGACGGACTGCCCAGTCGGGTCGCTTATCTTTATGGGCGAACCAACAATCATTTTCATGATGTCCTCTCTTCTTGCAGTTCGTGCAGGTGTGATCCTTGTGCTTGCCGACTCGATGATTGGTTTCCTGGCTGGATTTGTTCGTGGCTCGTCGGTTCTTTGAAGATCCTCTCCTCCGGCCACTTGCCTCTTGCTTTCTTGTGGTCGGGCCCTTCCTTCCGGTCTTTTTACTGTGAGCCCAGTACGTAGAGGCAGTACCATGACTGTCATCATCATCTGATGACCTGTTTTCATCAATGAGATCTTGCTGCATTGATCGTAGTGTTGGCGGATGCTCAGAGCGTAGGAGAGCCCGCTGTCTGGCAGTCCAGTCGGGGTACTCGTTCTCGCAGGCAGTCAGATAGACCACCTTTTTGAGGGTATCTGAGATTGGTTCTTTCTGCTCGAGGAGAAGTTTGACGAGTCGTTCAAAGTGGACATTGAATTGCGGAATGGTCTCGTAAGAGCTTGTTTTGATCCGGATAAACTGGTAAAGTGTTGTCTGCAGGAGAACTGGGCCCGTGCCAATACAATAGGCCTGGAGAAGGTTGAACATCTCTTGGGGATTCTCAATCCCGACTACCGCTATAACTCATGAAATTCGGTAGCGCCTGTGGATACGCGCCTGCCTGTTTCTAGCTTCTTAATTGGTCTAGCTGTAAATAAAGATCTGATGGCTTGCTAAATATTACTATTGGTCAAATGGGTGAAATGGCTGTGCCTAGCGTGTATCCACAGGCGCTACCGAATTTCATGAGTTGATGCGGTAGTTGACTGAGTGCTTCTCCAGTACAGTTACCTCGGATGGAGACGGCAGCTTTTGCCGCCTTGACCTTTTGATCCATAGTCTGCTGTTCCTCGGGAGGGTAGTCACCAAAGACAGCATCTTCGAGACCATTGATCCGAAGAATGGCCTTCTGAGCTGGGCAATATTGCTCCCAACTGGAGGGGCCGCCTAGCTTGAGCTCTTGCGGAAGGAAAAGAGTATTCTTTTCGGAGATGACCGTGGTACTGTCATAGGTTGAGGATGGTGTATGGTCTTGACCTGAAGCACCAGGTCGCGACGATTCGGACGCAGGCGATACTCTGATGGTGTTGCGAGTTCGCATGGTGGAAGGTGGGGCTCGTCGTGACGTCATCTTGAGTTGAAGTTAAAGTTTGGTTCTTTGATTCAGAAGAGAAACCCGGTGTTTGCTAACCCGGGCTCATAACCTGTTGTTTATATTGCGCAGTAGTGCTGGGTGAAAATATATTTTGTAAAACTTGATTGTTCTTATTGAGATGAGAGTTCTTCTTAGGTTTATATCTCTAGACGATTTCATCTAGGACTTTGAACTTTAAATCTAGGACTTTCAGACTTACAGTCTGAATCCTGAAGATAAGGGGGATTCCCGGATTTTCCAACATCCATTGGAGCTGCATGGCCGTTCGTATCGCGTCGATGAAGATGTCATCGAGACCGTCGGCAGCTACAGGAAATACCTGGAGAGAAATGACCAGCATGAGGATGTAACCTACCTCGAGTACCTGCAATCGTAAAATCTCAAGACGTGGAGGAGACTCGCTGCTAACGCGAAGAAGAGGGTCCTCTCTTACTTCCCTCGATACAAGTCCATAGAGGCTTCTCCCCAGTTTAACGACTTCTGCCGTGTTAAGTTGATGATGGCTCGCTCTCCACGAGAGTTGCTCGTAATGGACGGGCAGCGGTTCGACTCCTTCGCGGCTGCGTACAAATTCTGCAGGCAGCTCCACCATACCCATGCGGACGATCATTATGGGGATCCAGATGCAAAAGAATTGAGGGCAGAGGACGATGAATTTGAGCCTGAGGCCCATGAGGAGCCCGTCACAGAGGAGGACTGGCATGAGCTCGCCCGCATGCTGCCTGACCGGCCGCTGGAGGAAGAAGATATCGATATCCTCGGCCGCCGAGATATCGACATCAATTATGATTGGACGTCTCACGTTGGACGGTATACCGACGATGGCATTCTCAACGGTGACTACTGGAAACAACGCAAAGCTGAAAACCTCCTGGACCTTGATGTCGATGATCAACCCTTGGAAGCTCGCGATTCCCTAAATCCAGAGCAGCGCCTGGTGTACGACACGGTGATGGACCACTTCTTGACGCAGAATCCTTCCCAGCTGTTACTCCATGTGGATGGTGGAGGCGGCACTGGCAAGTCATACCTCATCAACCTACTCTCTGCACACCTCCAAGCCGCGACGGGCGGGAGAGGGACACCTGTTTGGCGTGCCGCGCCCACGGGCGTCGCGGGAAACCAGATATCGGGCACTACGTTGCACTCCCTGTTGCACCTCCCAATCAATAAGGACTTCCGGCCCCTGTCGCCGATTGATAAGGCCCAGCTCCAGAAGAAGCTGAAGGATATCAAGTACCTGATCATCGATGAGAAGAGCATGCTAGGACTGCGTCAGCTATCGTGGATCGATGACCGTCTCCGCGAGGCGTTCCCGAGTAGGAATGAAGAGTTCTTTGGCGGCTTGAATATCCTGCTGGTCGGCGATTTCTTTCAACTACCCCCTGTGCTACAGAAGCCACTTTACTATGATAAAGAAGTGCAGGGGGTAGAGATCAAGGGTAGGAACGCGTATAGGCGCTTCGATAAGACAGTATTCTTGAAGGTTGTTCAGCGACAGCGCGGCGACGATCAGGAGGCCTTTCGCACAGCTCTTGGGGAATTGCGGCTGCTCCAACTATCTAAGGAGTCCTGGAAGCTCCTTTCCAGCCGCGTACAGGCAAAGCTAGACGATCGGGAGGTCGCGAGATTCGTCAACGCTTTGCGAGTATACGCCACCAAAGATAGGGTGAACGAATATAACCACTATCACCTCGACCGCCTGAGCCGGCCGGCCATCCAGGTTACGGCTAAGAACGTCGGCTCTGGCGCGGCTGCTGCCCCCGACGACAAGGCGGGCAACCTTGCGAAGCAGATCCCTATATGCCTTGGCGCCCGTCTGATGCTGACGTCTATCCTGTGGCAGCCCGTCGGCCTCTGCAATGGCGCTCGTGGTACAGTTTATGACATCGGCTGGGCACCCGGGGCTGAGCCCATCCAAGACCCTCCCTGTGTTATCATGATGGAGTTTGACAAGTACAACGGACCGGTGTTCCTGACCACCCCTGATGGCAAGAAGATTGTCCCGATTCTCCCCGTAGAGAGGGACTTCCTCATCGGAGCCACTCTCTGCACTCGCACCCAGTTCCCCCTGATCGTATGCTACGCTATTACCGTTCACAAGTCACAAAGCATCACAGAAGATATGATCGTTACCGATCTCTCCTGCCGGGATTTCCAGACTGGGTTAAGCTACGTGGCTGTCTCTCGTGTGAAAACGCTCGAGGGCTTGATGTTGGATGCCCCATTTGATCGCAATCACCTGATTTACGCGTCTCCCCCAGATGGCATGAAGATGAAGATGAGGGATCAGCAGCTTCGGAGACGACAGGTTCTTACACGGAATCCTTACAAGACAGACCACGGTTCTGCATAATTCTAGGAGATTCTGCTCGCGACAAGAAGAAATGTTACAAAATTGATCCAGTGCGTAAATAATGTAATGGTTGTAGATAACTGCTTGGCCCGCGGACTCTCAGCCTTCGGCTGATTGTACCCCTTGCACCACCGCTCTAAAGTGCAAGGGGTGACGTAGTATTTTATATAATATAACCGCTAAGGCCATAATAAGTCGGCTCTGCGAAAGTGCATCTATTAATATAGACCTCATAGTAATCCTTGCTCTAAGTCACTGGCATAGTTAATTAACTCATAAGGACTCCCGCTAATATTAATTAACCATCCCCAAGAATATTTCTTTTTACCTTGCTTTCTCTTTCCCAAATCACCGTCCGCGCCCGCGGCCTATGATATCGACTTGGCGAGCAAGGATAAGTTACCGCAAAGACGGATTCACTTCGCTTATGAAACGAACGTCACACCAAGGCTCGCTCCTTCCTCGCCCAACAGTTTTGTGTCGGCAAGGGCAGGAGCCCAGCCCTGAAGATCATCATCTTCCGCCTCGCCATCGTCCGAGTCATCGTCCTCGTACACAACCTCCTTCGGCGTGGCCACCTGCCCAGCATCACTCAGCACGCCATCGCCAAAATCAACAACATGCATCGCTTTCAGCTGCACTGTTTTCTTGCTGCTCCAAAGATACCGCCCCTCCCTCTGCAACACAACCCGCCGGTACTGCACCGCAAACACCTGCTCGCCAACGATCTCGTTCCGCGCCATCCACTCCCTCGTCGCCGCTCGTCCCGCCTCGATGGACGGGTCAACTGCCTTGCCTAGATTCAGCCCAGTTGATAACCCCTGCATCCCCGCAGCCGCTGCCATTCGGGTAACAGGCAGCTCCAACCTCCCGTCGGCCTGCCGACTGCGCGCGTGCTCAACCTCGACGGAACCATCAAAAATGGTCTTAACTCCGACGATCATGTAGGCGACGCCGTCGTTGAACTTGAGCAGTTTCTCCACCGCATCTCGGTGCGCGCGGACGATGGCATCAAACGCGTCGCGGTGCTGCGGCAGGATGCGCGTGATGATCTTTTTGCCTGCGAGTTTGGCCGTGTCGGTGGTTGAGGTGATGGTAGAGAGTTCCAGGAGCCGGCCCAGCTGCGCATTGGCGTGGGCATCGGTTACGGAGTGGTAGTAGAGTGTGGCGTCTGTGTCGGTTGCTTCGATCGGCTCGACGGCGAGCAGCGGGCGCGGGTTTTCGGGTCGGTATCCGTTGGTGGGCTGCCTGATATCTTCGACGATGCGGCCCAAGAGTTTTAGGGCGAGCGTGTCGGCGGGAAGCTTGGTGGAGAGGAGGACGAAAGACGGTTCTTTGGCCATTTTCTTGCTTGAGGGTGCCACACGACTAATAACTGTGAACGGTTTCCAGACGAACTTGACGACTGGGAAACTGGGCAACGAGATTCGTTTGTGTTGGCGGCTCCTTAAAGTGCTAAGCGCTTGGAGGGATCCAATGTGCCTTGGAATGTGCCTTGGAATGTGCCTAGTGCAGATGGCAGCAACTATTGGATGGGCTAGCTAGTGAGAACAGGAAGTGCGGCTGAACCCCTCACCTCGTTTCCTTTCTAAGGCTAGATCCCGCATGGACGTCTTGTTGTGCTTACGGCTTGCGCCGTGGCTGGAAATGCCTGCTAAACTACACCGACTCACCACGAGCGATGCGATTCTTAAGGCTTCCTTTCCAAGGCATCAATTACCTCTTCGTTGCGCCAAACCGTGCGTCCAACTGATCTGACCCGACTTTTCTTTGGACGATGAATCCTCCAGTCCTTGCAATCCGCGAACTCTGCGCGACAGGGCGCGGTCGGTGGATGGTTCGGCTACGCTACGGCCAACGGGAATGGGAGTGCGACCTCACAGACCCAGCCTTAGAGCACGAAGATTGTTCCCAACGATCGCTCAACTGGGTATTCGACAAGTTTCCGAGGCAATATCCTTACGAGTCGGCAAGAGCGCATCTGATCTTTCAGAACTTGCTGCGTTACGCTGTCTTGGTGAGCCGCCAGCTTCGCTTGCTTGACGCCTTCGCTTCAGAGGGCGTCGACGAGCCCCAAATTGAGCCGAGCGTGGACGATGAAACAAGCGACAAACCTACAGTTGTTCTCGCGATTCAAGCTGCGGACTCTGATTCTCTATTCCATGGGATTCTTTGGGAGTCACTCGAGTCTCTGTCTTATCTAAACAGCCACCAGCCACCTGTCGCGTATCGTGTGCAGCGATTACACAGCCTTTCGAGCCGCACGTTGTTCTTACCGACACCAGACCTGCGAGGTGGGAGCGGCGATATAGTCAAATACACTTTCAATATCCTGTTTGTGGTGTCGCGGCCAAGCGAGGACGAAGACATCGACCCGCACCTGGCGTGCAGCGCTGCCCTGAAAATCTTGGCCTTGAGTCCTGCATCCGTCAGTGCAAAGGTCAACATCGAAGTGGCCAGGCCCGGGACGTGGAATGCATTCTCCGAGCACATCACCTCTCGCACGAAGGAATGGCATGAGAAAGGTGGCGTCGGACCATGGTTTGATCTGGTCCATTTCGACGTTCATGGCGTCGTCGAGGATGGCCGACCATTCTTGAGGTTCCTCACCCGGAGTGGGACTCGGGAGCTTCATCAAAGCGTTGAGAAGATCGGCAAACTACTGCAAGATAATGAGGTTGGCGCCGTTCTGATGAACTCGTGCGAGTCTGCCGTGGTCACGGAACATGAGGACTCTAATCTCGCGGCGTTATTACTCGAATACGGTATCGCGACTGTCATCGGCATGCAATTTCCACTGACTGCCTCTGCTGCAACTGTCTTTGCAGAAGCTTTCTACATGCATCTCTTTAACATGGACGAGGGCATTCTGGCAGCCACCAGCTTTGCACGCGAGATGCTCCTCGGCAACCGTTCAAGGTCGGCAAATCTCGGTGTGCGCGTCGAGCTTCCTGATTATGTGATCCCCGTGGCCTATTACAACCCAGAAAACCAATCCAAGGCAGCAACCGGGCTTCGACAGTTCCCGGGTCCGACTCCAGAAGCGGTCAGAAGAGTGAATGCCTTGAGGTCTCTCATGCTTCAGCACCAACAACTTGGGTCCTTCTTCGGCCGGGATTATGATGTCATGAAGCTCGAATGGAAGCTACTGCACTCCAGGGGCTCTAACATTGTTCTTATAACCGGCCTACGAGGATCCGGAAAGACCATGCTGGGGCTGTGGCTCCTCCACTGGTGGATGAGCACCGGTCTATGCGAGAAACTGTGGCATTGGTCGTACGAGCCGGGGCGTTCGCAGTTTGACATCGTCAGTTGGCTGAGGGACATCTACGACGAGTCAAAGCCCGATTTTCCTGCGAAGAGAGACGGCATTATTGACGATCTACGAGGCCGCCGGGAAGTGTTCTTTGTCGATGCTTTGGAGTGTGCTTTCCGGCCTGGTGGGCAGCAAGCCGATTCGGTGACGGAAAATGACCAGCGGTTTCTCAAGGATTTCATCAAGCGGCTCGAGGGTGGAAAGTCAATCGTTCTCCTGACTTCAACGTTGACGGAAGAATGGCTAGAGCTTTCGCCCAAGTGCGTGTTCCGGCTGCACGGTCTCTCACATCACCACTCGTTCCGTCTCGTCAGAGAGACGCTCATTGGTACGCCCTACGAACGCTTCGTCGAGGACCGCGAGCAGGTGCGATTTCTCCGTTACATGCTGTACTGTCTACATTTTAACCCAGCTTCAATCATTACTACGGTCAAAGGCATGCTGCAATTAACGAACGAAAGCGACAAGAATCCAAAGACGGCCTTCGAGAATTTGCTTCTCTCGTGGCTTCCCGACATCAGCACTCAGACATCAGTTGCCTGTTTTGAATTCGTGAAGAGGCTTCAGGCTACCTTCGCATCCAATCAAGTCAAGACGCTCATGCTCCTTGGGTTTGGCGCACCGACAAACACGTGGTCGGAGTCATTCTACGAGTTCCTCGCATCGACTGTCAGCGGCTTTTGCGCTGACACCATACTAACCGCAAAGGATGTCGCAGACTTTGTGAAAACCAACTTTATAGGAACTGGGTGGGTTGAAGAACTGTCAGTTGAGGAAGACGATCATGGTCATGGCCCCCACTTCCTGATCCATCCTATTCTGACAAACACTTTGCGCATGATTCTTGACTCGAGCCAATACCTCGAAGCACCTTACTTCCCAGAAGTCCTCGATCAGGCCCAATATGCAAACTGGCAAGGAAGAGTCTTCAAGTCCTTCTACTGTGACCTGGCACTTCGATCGTTACATTCCTGGCGACGAGACGACACCACGACCACGGAAGCCAAAGTTAACTCGATGAACTACTTTTCCGCGCTGACCCATCTGTCCAAAAACGTCCCCCAATACTCCATTTGCCCCAAAGCAGCCCAGATTGGCGTTAGCATGGGGCTGTCTTTCTCGTTACACCTCTGTCGCCAGCTTGCTGACTCTAACGCTGCGGCGCTCCCTTTTGACGTCATTCTCGAATACGCACAGGTTACCCTCCGCCTATTTGAAGACGCTACCACGCACATCCAGCAGTGGTACGGCATATTCGCCAGCTTATATTGCAGCCTGTGCCACTCCCTCACGCAGTTCTACTCCTTCAAGGATGCCAACAAGGCTTTGGAATTCGTCCGCAAGCGGCTCACTGTCGGCCTATCAGTATTGGCTCCAGGGTCTGGACCAGTTGACGGCGAAGATGGCAACTCCGCGGCTTGCCGCCAGGCGCTGCAAGACCTCGTCCATCTCTGGTTACTGAAGGACGTGCGCGTACTTCGAGCGAAGGTAGCACTAGTTACCGCCTTGGTTCTCGCCCGCTCTTCTCGCCCGCCTCAACCGCGATCGTTCTACGACCAATTTGTCCATGTTTGTTTGCTCCTCAAACGGGCATCGCAAAACATGCGCGAGGGTTCCTCGGTTGTGGACAAGTTCCGGTCACTCGAGCGCCGAATCACCGCGGAACAGCTCGTCGACCCTACGGTTCGCGAGCAGGAACCCACAACACAGCTACAGACGGTGGACGTCCTCCCCGCGCTGGTAATTGCATGGAACTCCGAGGATCGGTGCCTTGACGCGGATGCGATACACCAATCTTTGACAAAGGCGGATCTTCTCATCGAGACGGGGTCCGCGGACAGTGCTAAGGAAGTGCTCATCCCCCTTCTCCGGCAGGCCGTTTTGACCGGGGACAAGGCTGCCGAGTTCTTCTGCCATCGAGGACTAGCACTTGTCTACTCGGCCATAGCGGAGTGGGAAGTTGCTGGCCAGCATGCCGAGCACGCCGTAGAGGTGTACGCTAACAGTCGGGAATACTCCAAGGCTGGCTGGATTGCCGAGACGGATTTCCAGAGGACCCTGATGACGCTGAGAATTGCACTCATTTTCGCTCGGTCTAGCAAGTGGCTTCTTGCGCTGCGAGCGTTTCAGGATAGCATTTGGCGAGGCATCCCTGCAGCTTACAAGGAGCTTTCCGACTATGCTTCGTCAAGAGCATTCATGGAAGAGGCTAGGTTCGAACTTGGGTTTGGAATCATGCTGCTGAACTCGGCGCCACATTATCTCATCTCCACGCCAGAGGTCGAGGAGATGCGCGAATCGTTCGAAGCGTGGTTCAGGGAAGTGGCACCGACTACGTGGCCGGATTTCGACATGTCCACCCTCAGGACCGAGGACGCTCGGCTCTTCGGCCATCAGTTGCCCCTGGAGGATCACCCTTCCAGTGCCGAACTCAACGCCGTTCTTCGTACGTACGACAGGATGATTCGAGGAGATGTGGATCCACAGGCACTGGCGATGATGCTCAGCAATGTCGGATTTAACTTCGACGTCGAACTAATAGAGACGAGCAGGCTTCTCATTCAAAAAAACGTGAATAATGTCATTAGGGAGGTTGTTGTTAAATGGCAGAGCGAGAGCCAGACCGAGTCAAATTCACCGCTACCACCTACTCCTGAGTTGTCCTATTTCTTGGAGCTCGCTCGACAAAGCTTTACCGAGGAGGCCGCGTACGCCCGGTTAGACCTCGAGCCGGTGGTGACGTGGGAGCGGCTGTCGCAAGTTGTGATTTCCTGGGCCGAAGACGGGATGCCGCCGAACGAAGGGGCACGAGCATCGCGTGTGATTCTAGGTCTGCTGAAAGCGATGTACGAGGACAGGGAGAATGCACCGGCGGGTTGCTCCGTTGTTACCGTTGAGAGAGTGGTTGAGCTGCTTTTGAATGAGGATGGGCACACGGACTCAGACGTCCTGAGACAGGTGCTCACTCTAGTGGCGCCCAAGTATATGGCAGCAGTAACAGATGTATTCTAACTAACTAACCCATATTGACCGACTCAAACTAGGCACTGAACGTGATGGAAAACTTAATATAAATAGATGAAAGCATGCGCCAAGGCCTTAAGACTTATCTTACTCATATTCTCAGAAGTCTTCTTCGCTCGTTGTTGGTATATTCGTCTTGTAAGTTGTTGACCTTGTCGTCGACCTCGAGCATTACAGCCAATCAGAATTTAGCGGACAAAAGGTGGCCGTTTTGGGATATGTGGGGTCCGTATTTAGCCAATCGTGAATTTCGCGGACAAAATCCATCCATTTCCAGAAGCATAATGCTACTAGTACATATAGAGCCTAGCGCATTATTGCAAAGTCTAGACCGAAAGAGAGGAGACTTCTTAATTGTTGTCGCACTTAGCGTGCTTAAAGGGTTAAAGTGAATATGATGAGCAGCAGCAAATATGTTGATTGTTGTTGAGTTATCTCTTGTGCGGGGTATTCCATCCCGCAGAGTTACTTAAAGCATATAGCTAGATTACTAATGCAGTTGTTTCCTGAGGCCGTGAAGATCATGCCTACCCTGCGACAATTGTCCTTCAACTTTTGTGTGAGTTTCCTTGTTAGCCGCGTTGTCGCTTGCGCAAAAATATCAGAATGCCAATTCGCCCGGGTCAATGATCTACTCTATGCGTTATGAAAGAGGGTATATCTCTATCGCAGATATACTGACTGCCACTAACCTAGCCCGCCATAACAGAGTATTCTCAGGTTGCGGTACCGATTAGCACATGGTGCTATAGCAACCGCAAAAGCAATAAAATACATATAGGGATATGGAGGGGCGATCTACCCCAAAAATATAAAATAATAATTTTCCACATCCAGTACTCCAACATCTACTAAAGTTTATTTGCAGAGACCGACGAAGCCTGGACGACCACGATTCCACATGGATCAACAAGACCGGCTGGGCCAAGCACTTCCAGGGGCGAGGCCTGAAGAGGATTTACCAGCTCGGACTGGGACCAAGTCCAAGGCCGTGCGGAAAGGCATGCGAGATGGCGCCGAAGGCGAGGAGCAGGAAGCGCTCGCGCGGCTGGTCGAGAGTTCCAACGAGAAATATTGAGCGTACGGGGGGTGGGGGGTATCTATGCCACTGCTGGCGAACGTGGAAGCTTGGGCGGGACATGGCGCGGGCTGAAGTAGGGATACGCTTCACGGACGAGCAGTGGGACCGTCTAGGTGCCGTTGTGGATGCTCTCGATAACGTTGGCAAGGTGGCCTCTAGTGGCCTACTCTAAGTTTCAACGCTCCCGAGTCCGGCAGATCGGCTGTGGCTGACATGCCCACATATTATACTTCGCGCTAGATATACGTTGCCCCGCTCCCACTACCAGCTTCCAGCTCCAGGCCTCAAGCTGCCGGCGATAGGCGTCTAGAAGCGGGGGGTGCAAAGAGCATGTGAAACTAACCTAATCTTCTCGTCGTTGTTGCTCTGATTGTTGCCGCGCAGTTATGAGTTACATAGCTCCTTTATATCCAATTGAGAAAAGATGGACGCTTGAAATATTTAAATAGGCCCTCCTTTCACGCTCGCCCGCCACGTCCAGGCATCATGAACGGCAGTCATTATCGTCAGCGGGGAACGGAACCATTGAATCCCTATTACCGCCGACCAACAGTCGGTCAATATTCCATCCGAGATGCCAAAGTGTGTCTATCTTACCTATCTCCCCCTCTACTCTTTGGCATCGCGAGGCTAAGCGCTGAGTGAGCCGGAACCTTAGCCACGGTCATCGAGGACCACCTTCGGCGGACGCTAAGGTCGTCGCGGCCCCGTCATTCGCTCAGGGGATTGGACTGGTTACCGGAGCTCAGCCAGGACTTCGCCCCGATAGTTGGCAGTTTCGGCTGATAAATGATATTTGATGACGAAGGGGTGAGCGCTGATACCCCTACTGCGTGGTTGGTAGTCATCGCGGGGTCTGTGAATTAAGTTTAGTCAAAATGACTATTTTAGCGCTCGAGTGGGTATACTTCTTTTAATAAGTAGCTCAAGGGTGCGCCCATGTTCGCAGCATTCATCGCAGGTAGGAGAACAGATCGGTACCGCAGGGTCTAGGCCGTCTCATATAGCCATGAGAGATTGACTGCACAGGACAGTCGACTCCGGTTGAATTTCCGTTGCACACCCCGTTCCAAGGTATAATGAACACTCAACTTAACTGACTTGGCATCTTTCTGCTTTACCATCACCAATGAGAAAGGCCAGCTGTTGAGCGGGGAACTTGGCAAATGTTCTCATGGTAGGGAGACCATAGTACTCATTGTTACTAGCAAGCTCGGTAGAACGCGCTGTTACCGTATACTTAGCCGTGCGGCGACTTCTCGCCAGTATTACAGTACACTTTACAGTTCTCGTTTAGTGATCTTAATGTCGTCGCTACTGACTGTGATGAACGGTGTTCCCTAACTATTAATAGATATCGGTCGGGGTTGGTTCAAGTCGACAGTGGATTGATGCATCATACTGAGCAACGGGGCCCAGGCCTTAACCCGACGTCCCACCTTTTGCATTACCGACTTTATGTTTCGGGGTCTTCTTTCTCTGCGCTGGGAATTCTTAACAACACCGATCCTTTGGTTTAGTCGAAAACGGTCTGAAAGACTTTAACATCTCGGTTCTCGCGCAAAGCCGCGCTTGCTGAAGCAATATATTCTTCTTGCTAACAGCCAGGTCTCCTCTGAGAGCGTCGCAGCAATGAACTCTCAGCAGACCATTTCGCAGATCGTAAAGTATCTTTCTCTTGCCTTGACCCCCACGAGATGCAATCTGATTTATATCATAGGGCACGGGAGGCTGAAGAGTTTACGGACTTTGTATTCGTCTGTGAGGGACAGAAAATACCGGTTCATAAAGTCATCATATGCACTCAGTCTCCAGTCTTACACGCCGCTTGCACTGGGTCATTCAAGGTAGACCCCATCTCCTCGTTATACTGCCTTCTTCACTAAAACACCATGTAGGAAGCGTCCGGAGAGTATTGCATAGATGATCATCCTCTTGCAATGGTGCGGCGACTGGTCGATTACTTATACACCGGTAATTACGCCGAACAAATCACCGAAACAGGCATGGACGACCAGACCGATGGTATTTCTCCTCTTCGAGTACACGCAATCATGTTCGCGCTGGCAGATAAATACCTCATCAAAGGGCTTCAAACCTTATCGGCGGCTAATTACGCAAAAGCATTGGGTCAAGAGCCGAATATCTGCAACTTTATCCGTTCTCTACCGGATGTCTATACTTTGACTCCGGACTCCTCGAGAAGACTCCGCGACGAGGCCCTCGAGTTCGCTAAGGCGAAGCTTGCAGTGTCTCTGGCCTCACCAGAGGCCAAATGCATTTACGACGATCTGGCCGCTGATATCCCTGAATTTATTAAGGAGCTCCTCGATTCATTCTTACAACAGCCCTTGGTGGGAGGTTGTCACAAATGTTTCGATTGCATCTTGGCCTCTATGTGACAATTTGATATTCCTCCCATAAGTTGTTCGGAGGCTCTGGAGCACTGAAGCGTCCGTTATCCTTTTCTTTCTGGGTGTCCCTTGTCTTGATACGTTTGTCAGATGACACGGAGGTGCTTGATGGGGAATCACTGGACTCGGAGGCCCCGGCAATACTGGCGGTTTATCCATAGGTGCTTCCACCTGTATCTCCTCTACCATTCCTCGTTTAGGCGAGATATGTGGTGTAAGAGGCAATCCCTGGCAACTATGCCTTACGTCGGCGAGTCCCTAACCACAAGTTCACGACGTACTTTGACAGAGTTCGTAGAAAACTTCATACAACTAAAATGTGGGGCATTGAAGGCAGGGGGTAGAGTTCGTAGGACCATTTCAAATCAAAAGTAAGCCAAACCGGGTTCAAATGAAAGCCCAGAGAGTGACGATAATCCCATTAACATTTCATCATAAGAAAAGGGGCAAAGGAGGAGTTATGGCGTTTTGTAGAAATAGTAATTGGAGAGACGTTGGATTTTAACTGTATGGCGTCGAGATGATACAACGCCATACCAGTTCTATTCATAGCGCTGACCGGTCACAAAAGCAAGCATGCCACAAGTTGGAATACAAACCAGGTTCAAGGGTGCAAAATCTAGGCAAGAAATAATATGTATTTAATCAAATCACAATAGGGAAGCACCGTCGCCTCCATGGAGCCATTTATTTATTTAGCTGATTATCCGGTAGTTATATGTAAGTTATGCAGGTTTGGGTATGTGGCAGATTAGGCGGAAAACCACATGCGAGGTCAACATAACATTTCAATAGCAGAGAGGCGTAAAATCAAGTAGGTTTTCGCGATTTCCGTTTCCATCCCCGACAGTCGAGCCCGTCCCGTTTATCGCGCCAGCAAAGCAGGATGGTTTGGGGTGTAACGAATGCCAGTATGCCGTTCGGACATTGCGGGGTATACAAAAGCATTATGGGGAGAAACATGGATGGGTTAATATTTGGAAGAAGGGCGGGAACGTGGTTAAAAGGGCAAAGGGGGAACGACAAGTGCCGTGGAAAACAGGGGCTCGATGTCAGCGGTTTTTTCCAAACCTTGCCGCCAGCGGGTGGTTCGAGTTCGGCCGTGACAGCGGGAACGAGGAAGATAGACGGCGGGAAGCCGATGGAGTGGATAGGGTGGCGGAGTTATTGAACCGAAATCCACCGAGAGAATGAAGAGGCGTTCGAGAGTGAGGCAAAAGCGATGATACGAGACGGAGATGACAATTGGGAAGCAGACAGGTGGTTGACCGCGTCGGATGGGCGCGGGCATTTGCAGGATATCGATAAAGAAAGGTTGCGGGCGTTGATGGAACCGATTCGCCAGGACGAGCCCGTATTACAGCAGATGTGGGTTGTTTTCGAGCGTGTGTTGTTGGACAGAGCGTACGCAGCAGCCGTCGATTGTAGTCCGGGGACGGTCGAGGTACCCCATCATGTCCTGCAATTCTAGCCACGGTGCTTGGCTCTGTTTGGTATATTGGTTCAGCTGAAGTCAATCAGGCTGTGACAGAGGTGATGGTTACTACTGGACTGCTCGTATTGGACAGAGGGGTTATAGATAAGAATAACGCGCGGCAGGCGAACTTTAGTCGCGATGGTTTGATAACCTAAGCAGTTAACCTTTCAAGGCCTTGAAACTCCCCTCTAAGCATCAACCATCTTCGTGCCATTATTCATTTTATACGCTAATCATGTTGGCTTGATATTCGTAAGTCTGGTGAGTGCCTTGCCCCGGCTGGCCCTCCGCCAAGAAGGCCTTCGTGTCGAGCTTAGGAAGATTCCAAGGCCAGCCAGTCAACCTTGCGCCAGTTTAGCCAATGAACGGTGGGGAAAAATCAGCCACTTAGCGGATGTTTATTTACCACGACCCGACCGACGACTTGCTCGTAGGGCGGTTTCCTGAATTTATCCCCTCAATTGTGCAAAGCCTCCCTCAGGTAACTTGCCCCAGTGTTACAGCACTAGCAAGAAGTTAAGTTCTTTCGCCGCAACATCGCCTTATCTGTTATGATCTTATGGCCAGCTGACTTAGAGTGCCAGCGAAGGTCAGTGCTGATAGAGGTATAGGCTGAAGAGCCAGTTCCTATTGGGTTAGATCCCTGCAAGTGACCGCGAGGGAGGCTTCGCACAATTGAGGCGATAATCCAAAATTGGATTTCCAATCCGTACGGTGTGTAGGTGAGCGGCTCCCGAAGGCAGGCCCATGACGCGACGCCCCGCATCCAGTCGGAGACATATGTCACTTCACACACCCCTCTCAGGGACAATGGAGTGTAGATGATCGGGCGCGGACTGAGTCGGTAGTTAGGTTCCTGGCGAAGCATCTCCGCCTTCCCACGAGTGCTCCTTGAGCGATTCTAGAGTAGGTGGAAAATTATACCGACACATTCCGGGGTTCCCCGCTGTCGCATTACCAAACTGACCATGCAAAAGGGAAATGCGCACTCCACAAGTGCAGGTAGTAGATAATGCTTATACTGATTGACACCCGCACTTACGCCGAACATCATTCAAACGCCTCATCAACTTTACTCAGCCATAACACAATAACGAAAAGTCGGAATGGCTCCCAAATCATATCATAGTCCTCAGAAGAGGACGAGGGCCTCTCTCGTCATGCCATTTACCGTACCATTCGGAGGTATCAACAACAAGAAAGTGCCTAAGACCAGCTTAAGTCAAGATGCCCGTCCTCCCTTAGAGACATGGTAAAAAGGCGCATTTTAGAAGTCGTTGATTGCGACCCTTTTATCCCAGTTCGGGAATTGATTGAGGAGTGCGGCTTGAGCTGTAAGAACGTTCAAGGCACGAGGAAACTGGCGAGGCATTCACAGATGTTCTCAGCACATTTAACTCGACAGAAAGTTGCCATTAGTGCCGCTTTCCGGCTACCCTGATTCTGACCGCGGCGGCGTGTCAGGCCGTGTTATCAGAGATTGAACCGGAGGGTGTTACAGAACCTGATTACATCGATGCCGAGGCGCCTTCCAGGCTATCATCGACGCAGGAGGCTGGTACACCAAGTATTGAGTTATATTGCTAGAAAGTAGGCTCTGAGCTTCAAATTGATATAGGTTATAGTTCGACTCAACAAATGAAGTGTGGCAGAAAGAATTGGCGACTGAGAAAAGGCCATTACGCAGTCGAGCTGGGATTGACTTACATGGCGCTTAATCTGATTCAAGACATGGGTATGACTTAAACGACGAAAGCAGCCTCGGGAGGACTGCTCTTGGAGTTCCTTCCATGAAAGGGTTGCGTCGCTGATGTGAAGGCATTCCTTGATTCGGGGCGCTGATATCAGAATCACGGACAACCTCCGATGGACGCTGGTCAAGGCAGCATCACATAACGGACACGTCAAGGTGATCGAGCTGCTTCACAAGGAGGATGCTGATATCACGATTCCGAACAACAACGGATGGACGCGAGTCAATGCGACATCCATCTCAGTTGCGGGCAATGACGGAGCGATGCCAATCTGTCCAGCATAATACACAGGACTATATATCTTTTCTGTGATATGTGGAATCAACTGGAAGCTGCTTGCTAAGCCTGTGGCAATAGGTGGCAACTGTCATCTTTGATAACAATATTTATCAGCCTTTCAAGCTACTTCCATGAGCTTCCTTTTGACTCTATTCAACAATATCTAACCAAGTCAAACCCTTGGCCGGTTAGTAGATCAAACGAAAGTAGATGAAAGAAACCTAAATAATACCTCACGCTTCCGTTACATCCAAGTAAATAATAAAAAGCCCAAAAATCAATCTCGCCATGCTATGCCTCTTAAAGCGTGATAAAGCAATACTGTGGGAGTCGAAGGCGTTATTAAATGGCCTAAGTCACATGTGTCTGAGAGGAGCACAGTTTCTTACATAGTATCCATATCGCAGCCACCCGCAGATCGGATCATCTTAGTCATACGGTCTCAACAGCCTGCAACGGGTAAATTTCCCGAACCCCTCCTGAAGCTGACGACTACACACCTAAACTACCGCGCAGCTTAACTTTTGGCGCATCGTGTGGCGCGAGTCAGTACCACATAGGCGAAGCTTGTGCTTGGAATGTTCTTCGAAGGCGCTAGCTCGTAGCCTTACTATTCTTCTAGCAAAGTGTTACAGCCAGCTATGCTAGCGCCTCCTCAAGCTGACGACTACAAACCTAAACTACCCCACAGCTTAACTTTTGGCGCATCGTATGGCGCGAGTCAGTATCACATAGGCGAAGCATGTGCTTGGAACCTTAGCATGTGGGACCGAAAGGATGTGAGGCTGGCGGTGATAAGGAGAAAGCAGCCATGGTGGAAGATTGCGAAGTGGTGATCTCCTGCGTGCTCAGCAATATGCACTAAGCAGCGGGCGAGCCGTGGCACAAAGGTAAAGAGGGGGCGATGGAAAGGGTGGGTGAGCCCGTTCACCGGTCCCAGACACCCTTCTGTGCTCTAATAGAACGTAGAGTCGGGTGGGTTAATACTCGGTGACTCATAGACAGGGTGGTCATCAATTCAATCTGGGCCATCGATTGAGTTGAAGCATGGGTGTCACGGTCAATTCTATGGCACTTGCACGCTCGCACGGTTCACTTGTTGATCTTTTGTCCACCAGATGTGCGATTGAATTGAATTGATGACCACCCTGCTGATAGACCTTGCTTGTTATATTCCAGGACTAGTTGCGACCTCGTAGAGTGTCGACACGCACGCAGAGCCAAGAGGAGGCAAGAAGCGGGCAGACTGAGTATTGGTGTAGCGTGTGCGAGGTTCCTTCCATGAAAGGGTTGCGTCGCTGATGTGAAGGCACTCCTTGATTCGGGCGCTGATATCAGAATCACGGACAACCTCCGATGGACGCTGGTCAAGGCAGCATCACATAACGGACACGTCAAGGTGATCAAGCTGCTTCTCAAGGAGGGTGCCGATATCACGATTCCGAACAACAACGGATGGACGCGAGTCAATGCGACATCCATCTCAGTTGCGGGCAATGATGGAGCGACGCCAATCTGTCCAGCATCATACACAGGACATGTCGAAGTGGTCAAGCTACTTCTCGAGATGGGGCAGACGGCACGGTTGCGAACAAGGATGGATGGACGCCGTTCGACGCAGCATCATCCAATGGACACGTCGAGTAGGCGCGGCAGTTGCTAGCCTGTGGCAGTGCTCAGCTGGGCTTGCCTTCTCCTCGGGCCATTTCGAGTCCAACGGCGCATGAGTGAGTTAGCTTTTACAAGATGCTCGTAAAGTTGACCATGCCGTAGTAGGGGGCCCAGGACACAGGCTTTGTCCTGCCAAATTTAGGACCTCTAGCGGTGATGAGCCTTTGGAGGAGAGGAGAGTGTGCCCGCTTCATTGTTACATTTGATGTCACACGCCACAATTGATTCTGGCTATTCAAGGACCCAAATGAGAGAATGCTGGTCATGGTTAGACCACTTGGCTGGATACTCATGTTTTTGACATGTGAATGAAGATAGGCCTTAGCAGGCGCTCGTGTCCTGAGGGTTGACCTTGTTAAGCAGCTATCGAGGTAGGCTGGGCAGTATGCAATGAAGCGGAATACGGTGGTTCTTAAAACCACTACTCCGTAGAGGAGCACTATTGGGTGGCACATTGGAAGAATCCGTGGTGTGGCAGACTGCAAATCGTCTGACCAATTGAGGCAGCCTAAGTGAGCATCGTAGCAGACCATTTCCATGGCTGAATAAAAATAGCATTCGTCGAGAATCGGCGATGACGGATAGAGATGCCTTCGAGTTGCCGGATTCGTCGAACCTCGAGTCCTCTCATCTCCGGACATCTCAGCTTTCTCGTAATGGCGACTAGCTCGGGTGGCGACGCTATGGCGGGAAACCATTGCAGATGCCTGGCGCAAAATGATCTAGAGGCGATAGCGTGAAGCATCTCCTGGACAATCACCAGTAATCTGAGTCCACTGGGCTCTTTGTTCCCGTGAACGATGAAGCGTCACTATTAATAGCTCATGATGGGCAGGAGTATGACGCCGAGCTGAGAGCTGACAGAAGGACGAATAAAAAAGAAGACACATGAAGAGGCGGGCAGGGGATGGGCTATAAATATTGGGACATCGTCCAACAATGCTTCGATGGTTTCTCTCGGAGCATCGTCAACAGCACAGACAAACACACTACAACAAGGTCGCATCAGCAAATCAAGTTCTGAAACCTCAAATATATACACAAAATGCACTTCTCTACTATCCTCCCCGTCATCGCCGTTGCGCTTGGAGCAGCCAATGCCGCCCCCGTCGACGACGGTGTGGTCGAGCCTCGCGGGCTTGAGTGTCCTCATGAAATGGAGCTGCTCAAGCTCCACGGAGTTCCCCCGGGTGGCGTGTACACCGGAGTTGGCACCCCCGACTGCTGCCAAAACCTCCCGGACAACATCAACGACTTTGACTACCCTGAAGTGACGCCCGGCTTCCAATGCAACATCTACACCGGCCGAGACTGCACGGGATCCTTCATCACCGTTCCCGGCGAAGTGAAATATCATGACCAAGAGTGGAGAAGCTGGAAGTGCACTAGATATGAGTGAAGGCATAGTATTTGCCTTGGGAGTGAGAATGAAGGATGCAGGGGAGGGGATGGATGAAGGGAAGAAACACACTCATTAGGCATCAGTAGCTTCTATCTCATCTTGTCAACCTTTTTTAGGCTGTGTCACTCGTTATAAGACAGAACAAAGGACCTTATTGAACTTAAACTTGGCTAGAGGCAAAATATCAGATGCTTCATTGATCGCTTGTCTTGAATCTCTATCTAGCTCGTGGGCAACGAGCCCCTTTTATCCTTGTAGGCCGGCTCCAGCCTTGCCTTCGATCTCTTCCTGGGCTGCTAAGGCAGCCTCTATCCTGCTGACGCCTTGTTTCTTAGCATTTCCCTATCCCCAATGGTCCTACAGCCTCTAGTAGAGTCCGTAGAAACTCCCTAGTAGTTAATGGTACCATTAACTACAGTAGGCCTACTACACAAGGACTATTGGAACTATAGTAGAGTTCTTTTTTGTGCCCCGCTTTACAGGGGGTAGAGTTCATTTAAATGGCAGGGGTAGAGACGAACACGGACCGGGCCGCCCCCATCATCATCCATCCACTTCTCCCTCCCTTACCCCCGTCGTCAACGACACCCCATCGTCACCACCACCGTCACCATCTAAGCCCGCCAAATCGCCAAAGCCTTCTCCACCTTCCTTCACCGAGGTCGATTCCCTGAGGAAACAGGCGGAGCCCTACCGCCTTGCCGTCGCTGAGCTACCCATCCATCTCCTCCACTCCTCCTGGTCTCGCGGCAGTAACAGGCCCCTCGACTGCAACCATGTCGCCCATCTTTGTCGCTCTTTCCAGAATGGTGGCCTCGCACGTCGAGCTGAGCAGCACCACATCCAGGTCTCCTGCAGTGCCGCCGCCGTTCAAAAGATGATCATCAACGCCCTCCCAGATACTGATCAGAGCCATATCCAGGACCGACGTCAACATGTGTTATCGTTCAGAAACTGGGCCGATTTCATTGACGAGAGGCCCGAGCTCATGGCTGGCCAGCATCGCATCGAGGCCTTGAAAGACTACGTGAAACAGACGCATTCTGATTCGAACGATTTATGGTGGATTTGCGAGTTTTACGACAAAGGTGTGACCCCTCTCAATCGTCCCCAATAATATTGGCAGATCTTCATTCCATACATACATGTTTATATATACATGACAAACCGTACTCACCCTTACTGCTACATCATTATTCCAGCTCCAGATTCAACTGAAAGAGGACTTTGACGCGTCTTGATTGGGCCGTTATCCCTGTTTTCCTCTTTCACTTGAAAGGGGCTACTTGGCGAGACTGCCGAGACTCCACTTTCAGCGACGGTAGGGGCGCTTTATCATATCATTGGTGCTCTGGTCCTAACCCTGGACGGTTCTTATAGAGTTTGAGGTGGTAGCTCAAAGCTTCGCAGCGTGTGTAATACATGTAATATAAATAAAGTTTGATTACGGAATTCCACGCGAACAGCGCGTCTTTGACGCGCGCTTCTAGGACAGGTCCAAACTTTATAGAGAGAATAGCCCTCAATGTTCTTCAAAGGCAACTTGCAGTAAATGAAGACTAAGTCTTGAGTTGCGAGACGGGATGGAAACGCCAGAATTACATATGGGGAGCAGTCCCCATAGCCGTGCCGGAGTTATCAACCCCAACGAGACGACACCATGGCTCCGACATACTCGCTGGCCTGACCTATTCCGTAATCGATCACTCGAAGTTATCAGCACAACAGCACAACAGCCCGACTTCGTCCAAGGCCAAGATTATCTACTTGGCAAATGGAAGGAAAGTTCGGTCGAAAGCTCTGCTGAGGCCGAAGCTCAGCTACGCATCTTACTACAGGGTGTTGATATCATGTTCAATCGTGTGATGGCTACAATGGCCCGCACGTCATACACATCTCGCTGCTGGCTCAATACGTATTCGAGAAATGACTTTTGGCCACATCCATTCCGAGCTGTGTTGTGCTTAAAAAGATATATTTCCGTCTGGAAGCGATTAATATGCTTCGTCTTTCGGGTTTTGGGATTCAAGGAACGACAGCGTCAACAGCTCTACAATTTCAAACTGGGACTGAAAGAAGAAAAGATGATGCATTACATCTTATTTCTTGCGAGTCAACTTCCGAGTCGTGAGCAAGGCCACTCCCGCAGGCAACCTGTTGAGGACGATGAATTAAGTCATGCAAGCAGTGATGAGAGCGATGGGGAGACAGATTTCGAAGAAGACGCGAGCATTGGAATAGATGATAGCTCACAGTATCAGTCCGAATTCCTCTTACCATCCAGGCCTTGGCTGGAGTTATCAGAAGCTTTGTTCCAGCTCTCAATGATGTTCTGGACACATCAGGACCCCGCTGGAGACATGTCGTCTTCTGTTATTATATATTATACTGCTGTTATGGGGATTCAAAGACGGTCCATGTCTTATTACCCAGCTCACAACTCTACAGGCGGGCTAGCGGCACTTATGTGGGTTGGACGTGCACTCTTTTTGGAGTATGCTCTTCCTCTATATAGCTACACTACCCTTGCGTACCACTGGCCATCCCGAGATCAATACCACTCCCAACCAGAGCGGCTCGAAGCAATCCGTCAAAGATATCTTGTACGAGGCTGCTACACACCTTTCGGAGAACTCATTGAACTGAAGGCGTTTGCCAAGTCTATTGTGAGACAGGAGGGCATGCCCGGTAACCTCTCCTGGGCTCCTGACGGCCGGTCGTTTGTGGTGGGCAATGACAAAGAAGTAAAACTCTCCGACTTCTGCAAAACTTACCATAAGGCCATAGCACTGGTCGAGGAGCAGGTCGAAGAAATGATGCTGGGCTTAGAGCCGAATTTCAATGTTGATGTCGTCAGGGATGATCTGAATTGTCGAAAGGCCGGCTGGTCTTTCTTACAAAAGCCTGAGAACAAGCTATCAGATGCACGGGAGATGCTGATAAACAAGCTTCGCACGTCTCAGTTCCGTGGCAAACCCTTTGCAACTGCATCTCATTGGTGTCCTGACACATGTCTAGCATACTTGAATCTTGGCCTCGATCTCAACAAATCGGCTTTCGCTGCGTTACAGATATCAGGCGGGTTGCCAGGCCGTGGCAGTGAAGTAACTAGCATTCGTTGCGTCAATACCGAGCTTACTATGCGCAATGTTTTTTTCTACGGGGGAAGGATGATAATCGTGATAAGTTACAACAAGGCAAGAGCATCGAACAACTATTCTTTTTACATTGTTCGATATCTTCCGGCAAATCTCAGTCTAAGCTTATTGAAGTATCTCGCTATGATCCGGCCCACCATTGATTTCTTGTCAACGGCCTTGAAGATGCCTCATTACAAATGTAATGAGTTTCTCTTTCAAGATCCCTCCGGGAGGCAAAAGCATTTGAGCTCGGCTCAGGCTTCGGGCATTCTCAAGTACTTGACTCGAGATCTCGTCACACCATGGACCCTCTTCTTATATAGGCAAGCATCCCTGGCAATTTCGAAGCGGTATATCAGCAAGCTCGTGGAAAAAAGAAACTATTACTACCCAACCAGCGCGGATGATCCGATACGGATGTTCGCGGCAGGAGCTGGCCATCACCCTCGAATGCTGTTAACAGCTTATGCTATCGATAAGGCTCTACCATCTCGGCTGCAACCGGAGCTTCTCGAAATGTACTATCGGCTTTCCGCAATGTGGCAGGACTGGAATGTCCAATATTACCGTGATAATTGCCAAGCTCAGGATAAGGAACCCTGCAAGTCTCTCAATGTCACACTGCATACGTGGAAGAGAGCCTCAAGCCCTGAGAGTCCTGAAAGAGCTCCTAAGAGGGTCAAGACAGCTTTGGGTGGTGAAAATACAAACGATCTCTCCGATGGGTTTCTCTACAACTGCCAGTACCAGATTCTAATATGCATCACATGCGGTTCGATGGTTCAGCCAGGGACCAGGTCGTTATACAGCCACTTGAACACTATCCACCAGATCACAGGTGCAGCCTGCAAGACATTGATAGAAAGGTTCAGCCAATATGAGCTTTGTCGCTTTTCTCAATTGTGCATACCGAACCAAAAGGTTGCCCAGATTCAAGGTTTACCAGTATATAAAGGGTTTCGGTGTAATATTTGTCCTTATACGGCAGGACCTTCACGATTCACAACATCTTCGGACAAGATTAGGGATCATATATCAAGCCATAAGATAGGAATGACGCCAATGCGAGCGGAAGAGTTGCGGAAATTCGAGTCCTGTTATATGCAGACCTTCTGCTCCGCCAAAGGAAGAATTAGATATTTCGAGATTGACCCCATCTAATACTCAAAATTAGATAGGCCTATATTATTTCTATTCATACAAGGACTTGTTCCTGTGATGAATAATTCAGTAGTTAGAATGGAGATTGTAATTATGACTATATGCTGGCCTGTAGTAAAGGGGCTGACAATGCGGTAAAGCGGTGCACATGGCGCGAACCAGGGAACTTCAACAGCAATCTATCGGCGCTCACCTGGACTGCCCAGCTCATCCTGTTCGACTTCGTGTGCTTCCAGAAGCAGGATGACGAAGACGGAATCCCCGATCTGCTGGATCAAATGTGTAAGAAGTACTTTCAGCAGATGGCGGAGACACCTTTCGGACATGTACTGCAATGGAGGCTATATCTCTTTGCGGCCTCCCGCACCAGTCTTACCAAGCACCAAGCCCGCTGGTCCCTTGATGGGGAAACGGTCGACTATATGGGGACGAAACTACACATGAAACAGGTGACACAGCTGGTCGAGTCCGAGTTCCGCCAGGCGCACTTACTTCTGTATGATGAGCTCTTGTTTGGAATGAGGGATGTTGCTCCGATCGAGGCGTGGAGGCTGCACGACGATCTAGATGTAGACGACTACGGCGCTTCGTGGTTGACAGACGAGAGGAATCGCGAGATACTGGCGGGGACGCATGACGCCCTGCTCCGACAGATCGAAGAGAGGGCGGATCTACGGCAGGTATTCGTGCAGCTGG